GTTTGTCTCTACTACGAGGCAGCAGCCTCCTGCTCTCACTAGGTACATCCTTGCTTCAAGGTACCTGGTATTTCGAATACTTCAAAAGTACTTCAAAAGCAACTTCTTAGATCATTTCGAATACCTTACTGGAATTTAGTAGGCAGGGAAGTAGGTCCAATATTTCGGCCGGTACTTTCATACATACCACTGGGCTACTTTGATAGGGCAGCCATCGTTTGAATCGTGATTTATTAAAAATAATTAATTTGCTTTAATCGTTTAGAATTGGAGCACAAAATGTGGAGCTCTGGCCCTGGACTAAATAATCCGTACGTAATACCTAGTACCTATATCTGATAAGGAGGAGATGCTCCTTGCATAATTATTGTGTACTAAGGGCCTCTCAAACATCTCTTAAGACCTTGAGGTTCTAAACATGAACTTGAAGCAGCCAATAAACAATAAAAGTTATGTTATCGAGCAAAGGTAAATGTTATGTTCTTTCGTACTCCACAATAATTATTACAGCATTGGAAATATAGCTACAAATTATAATAGACTTACATATATTGCCAATGAAGGACCAAATTCTGAATAATCTGCTACCTCCAAGTTATTATCACCTAGGTCAAGGAAAAACGGCAGGTGTATGATGAAATACTAACAGACACCGGTCACTACGAAACCTCAACCGCTCATCAAGTAAACGGAACTGATTTCCACTTCCACACTGACTTCTGACTTCGCAAAACTAAGACTAAACTTGGATAAGTCGCGCTGCACTCAGGTGAATGTTGCGCACCGGCTCCCCACTTTTTACCAGTGGCGCATCAACAGTGGTTGCTGTGATCTGCCGCTTTCGAACAAGTAATCAAAAAAGCTTGTAAAAAATATACACTGAGACACTTTCGAAAATGATACTCATTGATCATTTATTTCCAATGATTGAAAGTGAAACCGCAGAAAATTACAGAGAGGCATCTAACCATAAGAACGCGGTTAGACGTCTCCTTGAAAATTCGAGGTCTTCTAGCCATTTTATACTACAATGTGTAGGTTGGCTCTTCTTGTGGACTTCGTGTGTCGTTTTTTTCCCTCTCCATCTTCGTTTCTTCAAGTTACACCCGTATCCGGATGTGTGGGCATGTGCATTAATTCCGGGCCTGATGAAGCCAACCAGCAGAAATGCGTATCGCTCGGGTTACCTATCCTATTTTCTGCTCGAGTCCACTTTCCTCCTTTTATACATATATATATATATATATATATATATATATATATATATATATATATATATATATATATATATATAGTAATGGACAAAAGTATATATAGACAAATAAATATTGTGCTGTATTTCTTTTTTAACTTGTTTTATTAATACACCAACCTGTATACATAATTCGTTATCGCGTAATACTCACTTATACATAAATAAATTCATTAGACTCCCTTCAATAAAAAATTAAATGAAAAAAACTGGAACTCTGAAGGACAAAAATATATATACAAAGTAAAACAGTTATAGACAAAAGAAGCAAAGTTCATTGAATTATAGAAAACCAACCATGTTTGTGTTTATATTTTGTAGCCTAACCATTATTATCAATCACCGCCTGGCATCGTCTCGGCATAGATTGTAGAAGTTTTTTGATATAAGATTCATCAATCTGTCTCCACTTTTGCTCGAAAGCGCCAAAAAGTTCATCCTATTTGAATAATTTTTATCTCGTATTTGCTTATCTAAGTATTCCCATAGATTTTCAATGGGGTTTATATCGGGAGACTGTGAAGGCCATTTGAGAACTGGTATTTTTTCATCCGGAAAGAATTTCTTTGCGAGATTTGAAGTGTGCTTCAGCTCATTATCTTGCTGGAAGATTTATCTTAAGGACATATTGTCTTCCATTTAGGGTAACATGACATGCTTTAATATGTCTGTGTGTACAAACTTATCCATAATGCCATCTATTCTATGTAAAGGTCCAATCCCAAACCCCGAAAAGCACCCCAAATCATAACAGACCCGCCCTCCATGTTTGACAGTGGGCAAAGTGTACTTGGGGTTCAAGCTTTGTGCACTAGGACGTCTAACGTAATGAACACCATCTGATCCAACCATATTGAACTTGGATTCGTCACTGAAAATACCCTCTTCCAGTCACAGATGCTCCAATCAAGATGCAACCGTGCAAATTGTAATCGGTCCTTACGGTTTTTCCTCGAGATTAGCGGCTTCTTACTCGGGCGACGTGCAAATAACTCCAAATCATTTAATCTTCTACTTATAGTTTTCGTAGAAACACTGACAATTTCGCCTTTTATTTGTCTTGGGGTTTTAAACGGATCTTTGGACGAAATTAATTTTATTAATCTAAGTGACCTAGCATTTAGTTTTCTAGGCCGACCACTTCTCTTAGAGGCTTCCAAGATACCTTTTTGTTTATATTTGTTCAATATTGCCCAAACTGATTTACGCTTCAGCTTCAAATTTTTGGCAATGCCGACTTGACGTTGACCGTCTTTGTATAACTCAATGATCTTAGTTTTCACATCGAAAGAAATTTCTGGACCACGCGGCATGGTCTTAAAATCACTCAACTTATTCCACAATACTTGATGAACACAAACTAATCCTCTTCTGACACGAAACTGTACTAAACTAATGTTGAAAAGAATTTGTATACATATTTTTGTTCCACATAAAAAGTGCTTATATTTAGCCCTGTATTGTGTTCATTGCAGATAATGTAAAAACAAGGAATTTAGTTTTTCTACTAATAACACATTTGTTTATGGAGCAATGAAGTATGAGTTCGTTTTCTAAAGGTATTTAGGTAAATATTCATATTTGTCTATATACTTTTGTCCATTACTGTATATAGGTATATATATATGCCGTATATATATATATATATATATATATATATATATATATATATAACTTGAGACGTGGTCATTGTCGTCTAGACTAGTTAGGAGAAAAATTAAAGCTTCCGCCTTTTGTTGTCGAAGTACCCAACAAAAGGCGGAAGCTTTAATTTTTCACCTATATATATATATATATACGATATAAGTTATTTAATGAAATATCTCACATAGCCCAACTATGTATAATGAATTGTCACACTGCCACTGAGAAAATGAAATTGTACAAGATGCATTGTAGTTCCTTGCGCCCTTAATACACACTTCTCAGTTCAAGTCCACGATTAGCTATAATCCCTTAAAAACTATGAATTGTATTCAATAATGAAAAATAACGTATACGTATCTTTGATTCAAAAATTATTTGTGGAGTTTTAAGCTTAGGCCATCATTCAAGTCCAGATATTGCTCACGCTCTGTGCCCCGCAAAAGATATCTATGTTACACCACTCGTTGTAGTTGCTTCTCACCTGTTGGCTAGCACCGGTGCTACTTGTTTGCATCGGTGCCAGATATAGTATTTTTTCAGTGGATCTACCATTTTAGCACTCGAGGGTTTTACCACTTCTTCCCAATTTTTTGGCGATACCAAATTCATGTGCGATGTTACACAGTAAGTGTAAACAATATTACTCGTAGATATGAGGAGATGGGCCAGAGGCGTCACTAGTGCTTGAGCGCGAGATATCGGTGTGTACGGAAATATGTCACATATTCAGCCATTTGCTTAACCAATCTTTACACGTAATCTTTGTCTTAAAGGACCATAGATTTACCGCATGTGTATAGATGACTAGTTGGTTTTCTTGCCATGAGCTGATCCAGACCTGTCTTTATTTTATTGAGGGCGTACTATTACGGCCATCCTTACAAATCGCCCAATCAACGCGCTGCAGCTACGCACTATACCATATTCATAGTCCATTTACGTACCGGCACAACAAAGGTGAGCGCGGCAAAGCAACAGCCGCCTAAGCGTTGCTATAGCTATTGGTCATTCGGCCATAAAACCACGAACAGGTACAGGATTCGGCAGGATAGAACTCAGGCTCGGGGTATCTCCAGCACGCCGACGCCGGCAGTTGCTGTTCATATTCGGTGCATACATAGCGTTTGTTTATACATTAGCATGTCGTCTGCGGATACAGCAGATTAAACTGAGAATATTTCTGTCAATGCTTCCTCTTCAGTGGTGTCTCCTCCCTGAAAACGCGACAAGAAGGGTAACTTGAATATTCAGGTATGAGAAATTGTCCTTAACGTGTATAAGAGCGAAATTTCAGAGCATCCTCCTATGAAAATTCATGATATTGAAAGACGTGTGGCGAACAAAACAGACTTATGTCCTGAGTCATAATTTTCAACATTAAAAAATATATAATTAAAACAAAGAATTGTCTCCACCACATAAGAGGCTGCATTACACGAAGCTTTAGATACAGTTGATAACATTGATCGGAATGCCATCAGACGCAAAGTCCATCAATTTTTTGAAAGGCAGGAACTTCCCACCATATTCAAAGTATTACAGGAGGTTAATAGTGATGAAGACTTGACTACTTTTAAAAGGACCACATTCTATAATTTACTCCGTCCTTGATTAAGAACTTTGTGCCCTCCATGACGCTACGTCTTTAGGTAGCTGCCTCGCACTTGCTTGCCATCTGTGCTCCATGTCTACTATTAGCTCATTCTAAAAAACATTGATTTATCGACTCATCGATGTTTATCTATACTGTTTGCAGAAATAATTGAAGACTCGGAAATTTTCGAGCAATCGCATAGTTTTTTTGAGTTGGCGGCTTTGGATTCTTTTTCTTTTGAACCTAGGATTACCTAATGCCCAAAAAAATGAATATTTTTAAAACTTTCTTGCGACGTCCCCTTACGGCCCGTTTGCACTTGTCGGATGTCGGGCCCGACTTTTAATCGGATGTTCCAATGGCAGATCATTTTATATGAGGCTATTCACACTTATCGGATACCTACCGATTTTCTGTCGGCGCCGATGAGAAATGTCGGGTGTTTTGTCGTAGCGCCCTCGCCTATTGAACAGGTATGACGCTCTTAACATTTGTCGGATGTCGGGGCCGACAATCCTCTCTCCGCGATACCCCTATACCTATCCACGTGTGCATCGCTGCCGCAAATCGCTCACAGACATCAAGGCGTGCAGACATAATTGATTTTTATATTTTTATTATACGCACAATGGAAATAACTATAGATTCGGAAGCATTGATCTTACTAATTGAGCATAGAACTGTCCTTTGGGACAAAAATTTTAATACGTATAAAAATAAACAATTGACAATATCTGCTTGGCGAGAGATTTGCTGCCTCCTCAGACCTGATTTTAACGAACTGGACGAAAAAGAAAGTCAAGCATATGGTAAGTATCTGATTATTTTAATTGAAAATATCCAAAACATACATAATTAATCACGCGCTTCTGGTGCCAAGGCATCGAGCCTATTGTTGAAGTGAAGTAGTTCGCAAATTCAGATCGTACACCATTTGCAATAGGACCACCACGTGGATTACAGTTTTGCAGATGTACTTGGTCGTGCATCGGATTCTCTACGGCATACTAAATATCTTCAAAGTTCAGACCGTCCTTTTGTCTTACAAAATAGCATGATCAAACGAACTTACCTCTAAGTGATGTTCTATCTTAATTATGTGAAGTCCTCGTTGAAGTAAATATTTAGAATACATATCGTAGATGTTCAAAGCTAGTTGCAACAACATATTACTAACGCTCTGCAATAGTAAACCATAGGTTGTACACAACTACACAAATTGTACGCAATGTATGTGTCAACTAAATGTACATTTCCGTTGTAACAATTCAAGTTAAGGCAACAGGTAATATGACATACCTGGTTCAAAAATTACCATCCATTGCATGGTAATGAACGAATAACGTAATAACATAGTTATGTTTAAGGTGTGGAGACTTGGTTCACCTCAAATGCCGCTTGAGCAAAGCTATTCATTGGCATAAGAGGTTTGTGACGTATCTCAGAAAACGCACTCCAGCCCGCCGCGAGCCTGAGACTACTTACTATAATTTATCCGGCGGTGAGGTAGACGCATTTCATGTACTGTGGGTTGTCAATTGTGACACTCTCTACTAAAACCGACTTCATTCATCTGGGAGACGAGGCACCATGATAAAGTTACTGTACAGAGACATATAAATGCTTTGCACAGATATTTGGGCGTAAAATACGATAAAACCAAAGTGGTTGCCACGTGAGTGACCCCGAGAATCTTTTAAAAACTCAGAAATCTCAATTTCAGTATTATTCAACCCAATCCGGATGTTGTATGTTTCAATTAGTTTGCACACTCTGACCTGACGTTAGAGGTAGCAGTGTTGCTGATTTACTCATCCACAGTACAGAACAACCACAGTATCTATATTTCAGTTGAGATGGCCTCAGCCTGTAAATGCCCTTCAAAAACCATCTTATGTCTGCATCGCTGGTAACATTTTGGGTAAAAGACTGATAGCTCAAACAATTATATCTTGATCTCTTATTACCTGTAAGGTAAGAAGTTTCAAGGTAGGAAACCAGACATGTATTTCTTCCCGACAAAGGTCCTACCGTAATCTAAGCCCACAATACACAATGGATTATCGATGTTGATTGGAATGGCAGCTTTCCAGTGACGATAACCAGGGTAAGCTTACGAATTAGTGGGAGCGGCGTCCTGGGTATCTCCATCAGAACCTAGAAGTGAAATTTCAGAAACACCGAATACTTGAACCAAAATCAGGACGGTGACAGGTGCAGCTCCCACTCCGTTTCCCCGTTCCACTGACGTAAAAGCTGATCTGTACCAGTATTACTCCTAGATTTTATATATGACGCGAGGGCCGTAAGACTTCTCTCTTTACACAATTGCCGTAGTTTTCTCGCAACCTGGTCCAGACGTGGAAACCAGAAGCTCTCCATTCTATTGTTGTAGGATAGGGTATAATATGCGGCAGCCCATCAATTCGGTAGCAAAGCATTTACCACAGAAAAAAACTACCAGTTGTTCTTGATGATTAGCATGCGGGATCTTCTCGGGTGACCAAAAACTAGAGACTCCTACCTGGCCAACGAATGTCCCAGTCCGAGAAATTATACAAAAAAAAAATTGGATAACTCAATACCTCTGACCGCATCTGCCAGTTTCTTTGAGCCGCAGCCAAGGTAGACCTTAAGTTATACTATTATGTTAGTGGCATAGTAGGGTTAAAATTCCCTTGAAAATTTTACAAGGCAAGGAATTTCAGTAGTTAGTGTATAGTCGGCTGTAACGAAATGGAAGACAAGCTGACACCAAAATCTCGATGTTCACCGCAAAGTTTCGGACTCTGTCTTGGTTGCTGTCCATTATTGCCCTTACTAGGTTTAGTAATGTCTGCATCGTCCGCTCAAGTAAAGTTACTCTCTTTCTGTCACAATTTAATATTAAGCCTGAAAGTGCTCAATTTTTTCTTAAGATGTTCCATAAATGGTTTTATTAACTTTGTGAACACATAAGGGGTATAATTTACCCTAAACGGTACATCATTGTATTGGAAGAGCTGTCCCTTGAATATGAATCTGAAATATATTCTATCACTTTCCTCAACGGGTACCAAAATCCCTGCATATTCCAAATCCAGATTCGTTAAGAAAGTATCTCTACGGAGAAGTCTGATCCCAGTTCAATAGCCTAGACTTGTGTTATATCCCTATAAAGGGAGGTAAGGAATCAAACGTGCTGACCCATCAGACTTGGGGGCAAGAAAAAGTTGGATAGGTGCTGATTTTTAGGTAGCTCAACTTCCTAGATGGACTAATGAGATTCAGCTATAGCAAAGTGCTAAACCAGTCGCCATCTGAATGGCAAGTGACCACTTGAGTCCAACTCAGGACTTTAGCGCCACTCGTAAAGCTCTGCCATTGATGATGAATACGCGTTAATGTCCATGCTGATCTACGCACCTCATCTGCAATAGTGGGTTGATGTTATCAGTACGTTGTCTGGATTTCTGACCTTCAGTTGATGCTCTGTTTATCTGATTTCTATTTAGAATTGACTTACTTGGTCAGACCTACACCGAAGAGCAAGATATCACTGGAAGCCCCAGTCAGAGTACTCCTGAGTTCTTTGCTTTATGCATGCACGCCTCTCCCTTCTTTGAACCTAGAGGATAGAGTATTGCCACTTGCATTTAATGAACAGCTCACATGTTGCTGTACACAGTCCAAGCACGCATCCCTGCGTGCGACAATTTCTATTATGCCTTCCGTTTCCTCAGGGTTCACCTTAGGTGGCTAGAATAGATCAGAATTTATTCATCTATCGTCATCAACAAGATCTGCTCTCGAAATGTCAGCCTTAGAACAACGCGCGAACATTAATTATACTAAAGTCACAGCATCATCATGGTGATGCGTCATATATTGAAACAGACTACATGGTCTTTAAGACAACACAATCCAGAGCGCCCTGCTGTTCGAGTGCCACCTATGCAAAATGTAACATTAATCGGGCATAATGATATTTAACTTCCGTTAAATGTAACGCTAATCTACCATAGATTTACCTAATTTCTATATGTTGTTAATGAAAAATAGTACTTCAGTTGTCTCGTAACATGTCATGTGCATATTATTGATCTGTTCGATGGCTATTCCAAACCATATGGAATTTGCTATCACAAGCAAAATGTAACGCTAGTCTCGGATAGATGAAACCTGAGCTTTATCTGTTATTAACGCAAAATGATACTTTAGTGGTTTCCTAAACTGTCATGTGCATTCTGACAAAGATATTCCAAGGTTATCACAAACCAAATGAAATTTGCTATCACAGGCAGAATGTAACGCTAACCTCGCATAAGATGCCTATGCTTTATCTGGTGATAAGAAAAAGAAATAGAAATACATTGGCGGTTTTCCGTTCATAATTATACACCTGTTCCACGGTCATCACAAACCACGTGGAATTTGCTATCACAAGCAAAATGTAACGCTAGTCTCGCATAGATGTAGCTAATATCTGTCGTTCATTAATGAAAAATGGTACTTCGGCTTCTTCCTAACTTCTCATGTGCATCCTTACAATATTGTTCCATAGTTATCACAAACCAGATGGAATTTGCTATCCCAAGCAAAATGTATCGCTATTCTCACATAGATGTACCCAATTTTTATCTGTTATAAATGAAAAATGCTATATTGCTACATTGCTATTACAAACTATATGGGATTTGCTATCTCAAACAAAATGTAACGCTAGTCCCGCATATATGAACCTAATATCTATTTGTTATTAATGAAAAATGGTGCTTCGGCAGTTTCCTCGACCGTCTTGTTGTTATTATTATGTTGTTCCAGGATTATCACAACCACATGGAATTTGCCATCACAAGCAAAATGTAACGCTTACCTCACATAACATACCTAACCTCTATCTGGTAATAAGGAAAAAATATATCTTAACAATTTCCTAGCTTGACATGTTCAAACTTACAGTCCTGTTCCACGGTTATTACAAACCATATGAAATTTGATATCACAAGCAAAAGAGAAAATATTGTTGACCATACCTTGTTGCTACGTTGTCCCAAACGCTTTCAGTGTTGTTATTTGTGCAACGAAGTTCAGTATTGAGTCATTTTTCCTTGGTGTGGACTCTCCCAAGCAACCGAGTTTAATGTTACAACGTTATCCCAAATGCCATCGTTCATTCTTGGTGTGGAGCTGACTATCCCAAGCCAGGTCCACGTTGCTATCCCAAACAACCGAGTCTAATGCTTCCACGTTATCCCAAACGTCTTCGTTCATCCTTGGTGTGGAGCTGACTATCCCAAGCCAGGTCCACGTTGCTATCCCAAGCAACCGAGTCCAATATTACTGCGTTATCCCAAACGCTTTGTTCGTCCAAGGTATGAAGTTGGCTATCACAAGCTAGGTCCAGGTTGCTATCCCAAGCAATAGTGTAGAACGTTATCCCAAACGTCATGCTAGGCATAATTTGCAGTGCCGGTGAGGCATCCATACTAATATTCATTTAACTTGCACCTAAAACAGATCGGTTAGTTGACAGTTACACCTGATGGTGACGCTCCTTCAGAAAAAGAGGCCTGCGACGAAAGGAACCTTCAGGCGCCCGTCGGTCGGTATCTCGTTCGATAATGCACATCTACCTTCTGTCCTGTTTTCTAATTCTAAATGTTCAGCGGATCCTTGTCACTGCACTGCACATAGCACGTAAACGAGGCGCGCCGATTAACGTCTTGACGGTCGGGCACGAGAACAAGGAATGAAGCAATGAAGGTTTATAGGCGGCCAGAGGGGAGAAAGGTAGGGGGAAGGGGCGCGGTGCCGCTTTCCTTCTCTGCGGCGCGCTTTGAAATCGTGGCGGTTGGGTACTACTACGAGGTTACTACGATATGTATTCTAAATATTTACTTCGACGAGGACGGAACATAATTGTGTAACACTGTACACGCTTTTACGATTTCTATAGCCATATCAGGGTGGACATCCAGCGGTCGATGTAATATTCTGCATTTATTTGCTAACATACCGAACCCACATTCGACGTACCTTCTTGCTCGACTTGAACAATAATTAAAAATTGTTTTCGTATATTCCAAATGAGTGCCTTCATAAGGTCTTAACAAATTTGTTGAAAGTGGGAAAGCCTCGTCGCCAACGAGAACATACGGCATATCTTTTTTGAGTGTTGTATGTAGAGGCCGTGGTTCTGGTATATTCAAACTACCATCATTGATTTTCTTCCAAATGCTCGACTCCTTGAATATAGAGGAATCACGTTATTTCCCATATGAGCCAGCACTTATAAAAATAAACCGATATTCTGCATCAACAATGGCGAGTAAAACAAATAAGAAATAGCCCTTGTAATTAAAATACATCGAGCCACTATTACTTAGTTGCACTACTCTTATGTACTTGCCATCAACGGCTCCAAGACAGTGCGAAAAGTTGGCTTTAATTTCAAAACCCTTATCAATTTTCAACCATTCACTCTCAGTATCAGGACATTTCATGAAGTCATCTCTTAATACATCCCAGATAGTGCGACTAATTTCTTTACAGATCTTACCAATAGTTGACTCACCAACTCTGTAACTGTAGTGCAATTCTTTGAATGTACAAGCCGATGCACAATATCTGAAAATTGATGAAGTAGGTAAGATATTAACATTTCTATAGGTACCTATTTTATTTGCAGGTAAACTAGTATCTACAAAATGGTCGAATCTACGAGATGCCTGGACACGAGCTAATAAAAAAGAGGTCAAAAAGTCCGGAGCCGGGGCAAATTTTTCAAAGCCATACATATATAAAGAACAAAAAGTAGTTGAGCAGAATAGAACTCATGATTCTCTCAAGAATTGTCCTCCGACAGATGAGTTCCCAGAGGCATCAGCAGCCGAACCAGCCGCTACAACTTCAGAGGTACCACGTACTTCCAAAAAGCAAAATTCCATGCACTTAGACGAAAAAATGTGTCAGTTTTTAGATAGCAGGCTATCAGACGAAGAGAGAACATCCAATGCTCTCTTTTTTACAGGTATTCGGCCGTCTTTTGATGATGATGAGACTTTAGAATTTCAAACAGGCATGCTGTCATTAATCCAAAACATTAAAAAGCAGCGTGCAAATCGTGCATACATGCATACACATCAAATCATCATTTAAGAGATTATATGCAACAGCCTGTATATTCGTCGCAAAACCGTATAAATATGCCTCCGTCAGCTGAATATGGATACTCGACATGTCAACCCGTCGAACCAGCATCACCTGCATCGCCTTGGTCCCAACAATCAAGTTCTACTCAAGATTTGGTTTTATCTTTTGCTACGATTTAAAGTCCACTTGCTGCATTATAATATAACCCATTTCCTTTAAATAAATACGTATAACGTCATAAGTGACTGTTTTATCTTTTCCTTAATAAACAAAATTATCTTACATAATTACCTTAGAAATATTGCCTACCTTTCTTCAGTACAAATACAGTCTCTAAATCTTATATTTTGGTAGTTTATGTTGACTGATATGCGAGCCAATAGGCCGTTGAATGTCGCTGTTGACATTCGAAAATAATTGAAAAATTTCATTTCGTCACTTCTCAATTCTGTTAGTAAGTTTTTGAATGCCCCCAAACTAAACCTCTCCCTCAGGATTGGGTGCCCCCAATATTTTTTTTCGCTACATTACGTTTTGTCTTCAAATAATAGTACATTACAACAACAGCTTCATCGACGTCTATCGTCTACAGTCGCTTCGCCTAGAATGGAAATAGCATCTACCAGCCTCGACCGGGCCGACAACCGATAAGCGTGAATAGAAGCGCCGACACCCGATTAAAAGTCGGATCCGATCGCCAGACAAGTGGGATCGAGCCCTTAGGCGCGAGACCGTCACCGTCGCCTAACGCTGCCACTGCTTACTCGACGTGTCATTTATAAAAAAAATCAAATCAGTTTGGCTGATTACAGCTTTATCTGTCCATTTAGTACAAAATCGATAAGCAACACAAAAATAAAATATGCTTTCGAGGATGGCAAAAACTAGTATTTATACTCGTCACTGTATTCCTAGAAATTAGCGTGCATGTTTTCATTTATTTGTAAGAAAAGATGCTCTTACAAAAGCTTTTTCGATATATCGCCGAGAATAAAAATAAAAAGCATAGGTAACGTACATTTTCAGTTATCTATTTTTTTGCATTAATATTATAGGTATATTTCTGACACACTTTAGAAACTTAATGTGTTTCTAGTCGCCAAGCGTAATATGTATAGAAAATTTCATTGTGAAGAAATTGGCACCTATATATTTTTAATCTCTCTGTGATAGTGACAGACTATCGAAGTAACGCTGAATTCAAATGTAAATTATTGACACAAAAGAATTTTCACAGAAAAAACCCGTATTGAGTGAAGATTTTTGAATTGGAGCTTTATGTTAAGGCTGATATACAGTCATGCTCCCGTATGTTTTGCTTGCAATTAAGTAGAAGTAGTGCAATATGTAGTCTTCTCCTCAAGCAAGTTGGTACATGCGCACGAATCCACCTTCTGTTGGTTTTACTCATGCCAAACAATTGATGGAACGCGACAAAGGAAACAGAGGATTACATACATACACACTCCTGCATGACGATTTAAGGCTATACGAAGGATGTCTTTTAAGTTTTGCATATAGAAACATAGTAGGCCGCGCGGATCGAACGTCAGTACTGAATCTTGACCTCACTCTTTAGTAAACTTAAATTCAAAGTTTCACAACAATACGCGCAGTGTTCTCACTACAGTGAATTTTTATGTGTCACCAAGTCATTAGAAAAATGAAACTCAACCGAGAACATTTTCGCGACATAATTTATTACAACTTTTCGAGACAATTATCGCAAGAAGAATGCCTTGCTGAGTTACTGTCTGTTTTCGGCAACGAAGCGCCACATCAGTCGACAATTTCCCGTTGGTATGGAGAATTCAAACGTCGACAGGTGAGTCTTAGCGACCATCCCAGGGTGGGTGCATCAGAAACGGCAGTCACCCAGGAAAAGGTCGATGCTGTGCGCAAACTCATCATTGGAGATAGACATTATTATTATTATTATTATTATTATTATGATAATTGAGATGAGCAGAGTACACAGTACCATAAGCTCATGCAGTAAATATAGTGTACGGACACGTAACATAAATACATCTAGTAGAAAAAAATAAAAAAGACAGTTCATAGCTATAAAGTTTGTACACTCCTCCAGCTATCATACTGCACTTTGAAGCTATTAACTGAAGTAGCACCAACCACACTTTCAGGTAAACTATTCCAGGTGTTGAATATGTGGTTGGGAAGAAACCACTGTCGGACTGTTGTTTTAAATGGCTCCTTATGCAGTTTGAAGCTGTGTCCGCGTAGATTGCTGCGCGACAGACGGTATAGATGCATGAGGTTGGTGCCCATCAAACCATGAAGTATCCTGAACGTAACTATAAGATCGCCACGAAGTCTTCGCTCAGAGAATGAGGTCAGGTTGAATAATTCAAGGCGATCTTCATAGCTTGGTCTTCGTGCTCCAAAAGGGATACGAGTAGCCCGACGCTGTACTGATTCGACGAGATTTCTATCGCTCAGAAGCACAGTGTCCCATACCAAGCCAGCGAATTCAAGAATTGGCCTCACGAATGCCTTGTAAATGTAGGCGCAAGTGTTGACATCGGATCCTTTGAAAGACCTCTCCAGCATGTATAGAAGTTTCTTGGCTTTTGATGTAACGTGGTGAATATGCTCTGACCAGGAAAGACGATCGTTGACTACAACGCCCAGATCAGTGTGGCTGGAAACTGCTTCGATGTTGTGGTCAGAGATCTTGTATGTAAATCGCGGATTTGTCTTCCCGAGGTGAAGGACACAACACTTAGTTAGATTTAAGGGTAAAAGCCAACTGACTGACCATTGACAAACAATATCAAGATCTCGTTGAAGCATAGCAGACTCTACGACAGTATTGTAAATCTTGGTGTCGTCGGCATAAGCTGAACATGTGGAGGAAATCAATGCGGGCAGGTCACTTGTATACAGAAGGAACAGCACTGGCCCCAAGACAGAGCCTTGAGGAACTCCACTTGCTACATGATGAAGGTGAGACTGGCTATCACTGACGCGCACAGAGAAAGTCCTCCCGGTGAGAAAAGCCTTAATCCACAGTAACAACTCGCCTCTTATTCCCATACAATCCAACTTAAACAGAAGCCTTCTATGTGGTACGCGATCGAAAGCCCTAGAAAAATCTAAGTAGATTATATCATCAGGAGTCTTTGTGTCCAGATACTGAGTCCAACCGTTGAGAGAGTGGAGAAGGTTGGTCATTATTGATCGACCAGGGAGAAATCCATGCTGATTCTTAGGGATAAGGTCATTTTCGAAAGCAAATGACAGGAGCTTATCTAATATGATTCTTTCAACTATTTTGGCGGCGATAGGAACGACACTTATTGGTCGATAATTTTTAGCGGAGGATTTGTCGCCCTTTTTGAATACAGGGGTGACAGAAGCACTAAGCCAGCATGAGGGTAGGGTATGAGATCTAAAAGACGATGTGAATATCAAGCTTAATGGTAGGGCCAGTGCTGAAGCGCAGTTTTTAAGTACAGCAGCCGTCATCCCATCTTTACCAGGGGAGGAAGAGGTCTTCAGATTTCGCAGGTGCATTAATACATCTTCAGGCAGGAATTCAACTTCGCAAAGGCTGTTGGGACACCTATGGCAGATAGTGGTCGGTAGAAGGTCTCCATTAGGCTCATCGACGAAGTCATCACTAAAGGACTCTGCCAGTAAGTTGGCAGATTCGGTGGCATCCATGTGGAGATGACCGTCAGCGTCGCGGATCTGAGGTGATGAAACTTTGGAATTCAGGTTTGTTCTTAGATACCGAAACAGCTTCTTCTTATTTTTGGAGGTAACGAGTTTTCGTTCATAAGCATGTTTGGCATTATGTAACGTTCTAGATAGGAGGTTAAAAAAGGATCGATGAGACAGGTAATCTTGTGAATGGCCACTCCTCCTAAACCGTTGCCACAAAGATCTCTTGTGACGAGGCATCCTCAATATGTTTGAGTTGATCCAGGGCTTTGAGGGGTCACAGTATACCTTCTTTTCAACAGTATTGTCAGCCGTTTCGCTTAGGACTCGTTGAGCGAAAGTGTCCCACATATCTTGGGTGCTACGGTTGTTAAGCAAAGCAGGCCAGTTGACTTCAGACAGGGCTTGGTTAAGAGCATCGTGGTTTACAATGTTGATGGTTTTAAACTTATCGGTTGTAGAACGACTATTTACATTGAACTGGAGAGAAGATAAAAGTGAACAGTGGTCAGACTTGCCAAAAGGTGGCAAATAATCTAAATTAGAAACAAAGTCGGCGTCGTTAACGAATATCAAATCCAGAGCCCTAGGTGTCTGTCCTTCCCTGAATCTCGTTGGACGATCAACAAGTTGAGATATGCTAGAGTTGCATAGCAAGTCGATGTAAGCAGCAGAAGAAGAATTGCATTCAGGAATGGTTGATTTAGGCCAGCTAATGTCACGTAGATTGAAGTCACCAGCTATGAAAAGGTTGGTGTTTTTATTTAAGAGATCTGAAATGAGACTGCACAGGTGTGTGTCTCCCAAACAGGGCCGTGGCCGATATATGCAGCCTATTGTGAAGCTGAAATTTGGGCACCTCAATTCCAAAAATAGATTGTCAATGCCATCGAAAGGACTGAAAGAGGGAGATACCGAGAAAGCCGACGCGATTTCCATGCGAACATAAATGCATACTCCACTAAAACCAGGAGTGCGTGGTGAATCCATTCTGTATAAATAGTATCCAGGCAAATTGATGGAAGGGTCGGACACGTTGGAATGGAGCCATGTTTCAGTAAGGCAAACGTTGGATTATTGCCTCGAACAAATGCTTGGAGTTCAAGTAGCTTAGAAAAGAGAGATTGTGTATTAGTGTAACAAACCGTCCAGTTTGCCACAGAATTTATCAGTTTTTTGAAGGTGTGATCTCCTGGGTAGCTGTGTGTACTATAGAAGGTTTACCACGAACGTATTTTATAGTAATATTACTTTCGCCTGTTGTTTGACGACGTCTAAGCTCTTCGCGAAGGTGTTGTAGTTCTTGCATTTGACCTCTGGTTTTGTCTTCAGAGATTTTTACGTGACGAAGCGTGGGGTGGCTAAGGATGGAGTTTTTCTTCCGCAAAATATTGCCGACGATAATAGGTGAGGAAAACACAACTCTAATTAAACGATTACTTGAAGTTGTTCTGCCAAAGCGAGTGATGCTGAGTCGGTGATTTTCGGCAGATGGTTCAATATGCCTAATTATCTCTGATACTATGTTTATGTCATCGTTCCCTTCAGCTATGCCCTTCAGAATGATATTGTGGGAACGTCTAAATAACTCCATTGTCTCAGCTTGGGAGCTTGGGGTAATAGGGGTAGAAGAAGCGCCGTTGCCTGAGTGCATCGTCTCCATAGATCTTGCAAGTCTCGATTCAATATTAGCAATGTTTGAGTAACCTGGATATTTTGTATGTTGGTTTCGCAGGCCGCTATTAAGTCATCATGTGACATACCGCGAGATTGAGGCGTCCTTGAAGATCTCAAAGACCTCAATTCAAAAAAATTTACATGAAGAATTAGGAGTAAGAAAATTAGTTGACTGAAGAGCAGAAAGCAGCTAGGGTTAATTATTGGTCTCAAAAAACGCTTGACCGTTTCAATTCCGGAAACTCAAAAAATGTGTACAGCATTGTTAGTTAGTGGTGATGAATCGTGGATTTACTGTTATGAACCAGAAAGTAAACGACAGTCGGCTGTTTGGGTGTTCTAAGGTGAAGAAAAGCCAACAAAAGTCATCCGTTCTCGAAGTGTTTCGAAAAAGATGGTCGCGACATTTGTGTCAAAAGCGGGTTATATTGCGACAATTCCTCTTAATGAGCAAAGAACTGTTACTGCAGATTGGTATACCACCATTTGTTTGCCAAAAGTCATCACCGAGCTTCGAAAAATCAACCCCGAAAGAAGAATCATCCTCCACCAAGACAATGCAAGCTCGCACACAGCCAAAAAACAAGGCAGTATTTAACGGAAAAAAACGTGGAATTATTGGACCATCCTCCATATAGTCCTGATCTAAGTCGTAACTATTTCTCTACTTGCCCGAAAATTAAAAAGACTGCGTGGTCAAAGGTTCCAGTCACCAGAAGAAGCAGTTGACGCATTCAAAAATGCCGTTTTGGATCTGCCAGCAAACGAGTGGTATAAGTGCTTCGAAAATTGGTTCGAGCGCTTGCAGATGTGTATTAATCTTCGTGGAGAATACTTCGAAAAACAATAAAGTCATTTAAAACTACCTTCCGTGTTGTTTTACTTCCATATGCAAAACTTAAACGACATCCCTTGTACAAGTAAAATGGGTATCAATGTCACGCTTTACACGTTATCAAACAATTAATACAATCCAGGCTCCTCAGCTGCTTTCCAGTGACCCTGTTGGATTACTCTGAATAACTCAGCAGTGCTCAGCACTAATACCGTTCCATTGCACGTTGTATTCTCATGCATTGTTTCTAAAACAGTTCGGGAGCGTATCACTCTCAAACCAAAAACCACTGGAAAGCAGCTCTGATAGCCTCGTCCACAAAAAATACGGAGCATTCGGTTACTACTTGCGTATAGGTACATCAGGGAAGAAAATTTCGATCTTATCAGTCATTGCACCCTTATGAGAAAAATAAACTATGATATTGAAGAATGAAGGCTTTCACGGCTAATTCCAATGTAATTTAGGTTTTTCGGGCTGTTGAGCCCTGGTCGGGTTGGATTTGGTCCAGAGCTTTCGGCTACATCTGCGACTGAAACTGATCGACACGCCAAGCCGACCACGGCTCAACAGCCCCAAAAACCTAAATTACATAAACTGTGATATGTTAGCGTGATACTCTATGCATACATCGGCATACTTTTACATCCGCCAGCGTGCCAGTATATACCGCTGTGCTAGACGATGGCGTCTGCATATATTCGTTTGTTCCAGAATCGTAAGATTGGAATGGAAGAGTGATGAACTGAGAGATCCGACGTTGTGTTAGCGAATGCTGGCAGTATAAAGTAGCGACTTTCCTCAACAATGTACGCTAAGTGTGCTAGCCCTTAACTGCCAACATCCAACATCAAAATTGACCGAAATGTTTATCAGTTAAGTTTTCAAACTCGAACAAAGATGGCGAATTTTTCATCTGCAATTTATTCAAGATGTTCGAATCATTACTGTGCAAAATGTTTCATCATCGACATATCCCATATTTGGTATTGATTCAGGTGCAGACACAGAAGAGGTTCAGTTTCTTTATACCACCGGAAAACTTTAGGTATTGACATTATTCGTATCCCTAGAATACGTTAATCATTTAATAATACCGAGACATCGCGGCAGCTATGAGGGGCTTAAAGACACTTTTCTAATCCGGTTTTTGATCAGCCCGAGATTAGTAGAACTGGAAAAACCTCCCCAGGCAGTGTTTCACAATCTCGACTCCCTGTGAACAAAGGAGCAGTCCGTACCGGCCTTGTTATGAATGTACGAAGTTTGACACAGTTAAAATGGGAGGCCGAAGAGGCCCGACACTTTCCGTTAGAGAAGACTCGTGGACCAGTGGAATATACCTCCTATAAACAGCATCGATAATGTAGTCGGTGCGGCAGCAACCCAAACATGTACATAATACTCGAGGTTAAGTTTTATCTGGGCCTTATACAGAGTGAGGAGGTTATGTGGAGAAAAGTACTTCTTATCCCTAAACAAATAGCTTAGTCCCCGTTGATCTAGACTCCGATCAGACAAAATGGTAGAGCTCGGCATTCCATTGTAACCGGATGAGCGCATATTGTTAATCAACTGTTATACTCTTTTTCAAGCATTAAGCTGTATCAGATTGTTGCATCCCTAAGCAGATCCCTGGTGAGAGAGGAAGTCGCTGCTAGTCTTTACTCTAGCTCACCAGCAGATATCTGCTTGGCACTCTGAATTCCTGCATGTATGGTGCTGTCATCAGCAAAGCTGTGGATCAGAATGTTCATATAGGAAAGAAGGTCGATATGTAAGAACCAAAGCCGATCGTGCTGCCAGAGCGAAAGTCAGCCACATAATATGTAGAAAACTTCTCTGGGAGGCCATAGAATGGGAGTTTGGATGAGAAGGCAGCATGACACATCTGATCAAATGCTTTTGTGTTATCATCACTTTACAGTTCTATGATGTAATCTGGTAAGATAGGACCAACAGTGTGTTGAGCAATACAGCTAATGTTATTTTTTAGAATGGAATTTATCAAGCCATCTATTATTTATTGTAGAGAACTGAGCTATTTATTTAATATATATATGAAATGCATAGAAAACCAATATATATAATGCATAGAAAACTAATATATGCTTACTGGTCATTGACTTTATTATAGATCTATGTACAAAATATATGCATATTAGTTGTATAAATGAACAAATATACAAGAATGTACTTAATATAAGTACTTTTTCCACCAAAATATAATTTATAGGTATACTATTTGCTCTTTCTACTAGTATTAAACAAATTGAGATACTTCCCCCTAGTTAACTCTTTTGATTCTTCTACCCCCAGCTGGTAGGCAATATCATGCAATTCTTTGACTTTTCCTATCAATCCTGATGTTGATAGTGAGGCTAACTCTAGAAAACAAAAAAAAAATGAAAATATATCCACAATTTGAAACAAATTAGGTATGTAAGTTTTGCCTATTAGAATATTTACTATGAATCTTATATAAAAATAAAAATCACAACAGATAACTATTGAACAAAAATATTTGAATAATGGAGCATCTAAACAGGAAATATTTGTAGCCCAACCACATATCTTGGATATATCAGCATCGATTATATCTTGGCAATATTGTGTGCAATGGTAAGAATTTCTCTTAAGCATTACAACATCAGGCAGGAATGACTGAGAAAATTGTATGAATCACAGCAGCTTACATTACTTACATTATACTGAGTAGGGTTTCAATGATTTGGCAATCTGACCAATACAAACAGGCCAAAAATGACAAAGTATGGCCAGGCTAACAAATAAAGCCAGTTTCGAGCCATCATAAGAATTTGTATTCTTGACTAATTGAGCAACTGTTGTTAGAAGACAGATAATACAGATAATCACAAATTGAGGAAGTTAATGAAAGATGTCAAAATGGAATAAAATAAAGACTAGTTCTCAATTAATGAGCAGTTTGTTAGCTTTGAGTGCATCTGCAACAGTGCTTAATAACAAAAACCTACAACTTTAGGCGCAATGTACCTGGATGGATTTTGGGCTAACTGTCACAGATATATGCCAATAAGCTGCAATCGAGCAAATACAACATAACCCAAGCCACCACTCAAATTTTCATACATCTATATTGTAGCACTATTCAAAATTAGATCTCGCAAACCTGCACCACTTTGGGAAGTTGCCCCTTTCATACTCCTAACAAGACATATCCAAGTTAAATGAATCAGTTCAACAATGAAATGTATATTCTAACCTATGCAACACAATGCTGTTTTATCACATATCAAATGGAATACCCTTTGGTTTAACTTACGGTGCATATAATTTTGATCCTCCTGACTCAATTCTTTGGAATAAGGTGGTTTTGTAGTACTTTGGGGTGTTGTTTGGAAGCTGCTAATGAATTCAGTCATGCCTGGAACTAATAGACAAAAGAGAACAACTATTTCACTGTTTCACTCAGATGCAAAATATAGTTAGCATACTTTTCTCGGGCCATAATTCTGGGGATGATCTATCAAGATTCTCCATGCTCAATAAGCTCTGCCCAAAACCTTCCACACGATCTTGGTCTACAACAAAGACAATCGATATTGACAGTTGTCCAATTGCAATGGCATCTTATGCAGCTATCAAATTGTGAAACAGCTCCTATGTAAGTGTGAATCGCTACAAATTAATGGTAGACATATAAATATTTATTTTTTCTTACAGAATATCCCGAATAAGTAGATATTTATAAATAATTACTGAACTTTATATACCTTGTTCAATGCTCCCGGGTCTATTCGACGCCATCTTGACACTGCTGCCAATTAATAACGGCTTTCTGAAAGTCCCCCAGATTTCAATTTAAAAAAACTTCCAGAACCTATTTGGAATATGACTCTTTTTACTTCACTCTATGGAACTTTATACAGTAGTAATGATTGCTCATGCATTTCTTAGGCATTGACTGCTGAGTTTTTTCAATGTTCCCATTTATACTGTGTAAAAAGTTATCATTAATCTCATCCTCACGCGCACACACAGTGACATTTCATTTGAGCAGTTGCTTCCTTGGCAAAACATCAATGTCATGGCTGTGTCATAACTTGTGCTCATAACCTCAATTGCTCAATTCAGTTTGTTGTTTGTTCGTTTTCTGAAAACTACAAGTTTTTCGTTTGTCTCGTGACGATTTTTCTATAAAAAATACAAACATTTGAACAAATAGACAACTATGCTAGAAAAGTTACATGAATATTAGTGAAAGAATTACAACCCCTTTTGAAACCAGGTAAAGTATTATAAACTTACAACTTCTATTGGAGGACTATTTCCTTTCACAATGGTGCGGTATACATTTCTTTGAATTTTGATTTTCATCTCAGGTAAACTTCTTCTATTATGGATAGCGTGGTAAACTTATGCAAACATTTGTGTAATAGATTTTTTATAGTCTGTCTGATTGACCTGGATTCTTGATGATAATACATTGAAAATTCAGGAGGAGTTTGAATGTTTTAGGTTGCCTAGTTACATTATCTTCCATATTTATTAGCTGTTATTCTAGAGGTAACACATGATTAGAAGAATCTTTCAATCCATTTAACCATATACCCTCCTTAATCAATATTAAACATTGCGTAAATCAAACATCTTTTGTGTACATTTGAAACATAGCTTTTTTAAACAGTATTATGCATGTTTATCATAACAATTACATCATATTGCACCCAATTTTTTGTTCATCAAATATGTATGTGCTATTTGTATCTTGTGTGCTTTTGTGATTAAACTTTTGAAGTACTATAATGTACTTGCATATAAACTTCTTAGGTATATATGTATTAGATGCTAAATTTTCTAGTGTTTTCATATGCAACAGTCAATATAACTTATTTAATTTTGGTGATAGTTATAGTATATTTTCCACTTACCTACATATTGTATGCTGTAAATTTTCAGCAATTAATTTAATTATACCTTAATGTTTCAACATGTAATGATCATGTATAAGTATTTTTAGGAGGCTAATTTTCTAGTCACTAATTAAGGCTCATGAGTAACCATTATAAATTTTTTGTGTTTTATTAAGAAATATATTCATGTGGCTGAAGGACTGATCGATCGAAAACGTTATAAAGGCAGCAGTGCACAAAATTTGTCATTGCAACATAAACCATGTAATTTGGCTTCAAATATGCGTAAATCGTTGCGGTTTTCACGTACTTAATAATGTTTATTTTATGTATTGTGCAAGTATACCCTTCCTCCCCAAGAGGAACTCCAAAATTGGGGGGTAACATGATAAAATCAAAATGTTGCAAAAGTTATAATATAAACCTGCAGTTTTCAAGTTAATCGCATGAGACAGCTATACTTTATGTTTCTTGAAATTGATGTCGCGCTGCAGGGCCTACGGCCCCCCCCCCCAAAATACCCCATACCTCAATTTTGATATTAAACGCATCGAAAACACTCTCATCAGTTTCGAAAAGTGATTCAGGTCCAGGATTTTGTTGCATGTATCTCGTAGAATTATGCTACTCTAGCGCCCACGAAGCGGCCTTGGCGAGTGTGCCCCGGAACATGATTTTTCAGCCCCTAGGGCACGTAATGTGGTGTACACATATATACGAAAAAAATCATAATTTTCCAAAATCAAGTTAGGTCCAGGATTTTTTTCGATAAATTGTGATTATTTATGGATTTTGTTATTAAGACATTTCATTAGGATTAGGAATTTCCGGGGATGCTTTTTATATCCTTGGTCCATAGCGCAGGTATATTTTCCCCCGAGGCCTTTAGTTTTAATATGATTATATATACATATAGTATATGCCAGCTAGGCTTAGTAATGTCAGTATTCTCCAAAAATAAATGGAAGTAAAACCAGATGATGATAATAATGTTACGGGATAGGGCGAAATATCAATGCTATTGTTTGAATGCTGGATGTCGACTAAGTTTATTTTAGAGATCAAGGTAGCAATACATATGACAAGACACGTTTCACATGATATAAGATAGCTGGCACGCTATACATTATTTTTGATATTTTTCAACAAATAATACATAGCACTAATATATTCCTTATATCAAAATACAATTCAGCAATAAGAAACAAATAACATTTCCAATTCCGCAAAATGCATCGCTCATTGAATGCAGAACTAGCCCAAGTCCATTTTTGCCGAATTTGCTTTAACAACACCATGGAATGCTACGGCGCATGCCGGATTTGGGTGCAGAACTAGCCTATAATATCAACACGTTATCCCCTCTACCGCGTCTATTATGCAAATATCCCAACTTGCGACGCGTTCCGAGATTCAGTGCAGAAGAATCCCTTGGCGGTTGCGTATGCTAAGTATGTGCTTTGTATGGACATAGGCTAGTTCTGTATTAGAATTTGTATACCAAGTACATAGTAGCTGTGGACATAGAATACTTCTGCAATACGGAAACATCCTTAAAAGTAGCGATATTATTTTGTATATCGCGGTCACAATGATTTCTAGAACTCTAAAAATGATACAATTGGTGGCTCCATAAAAATCAGAAGGCACCCTGAAGGCTGGTGAGACAATAAATTAAGTTTTAATAATTTCCGAATTATGTATGGGTATGATTTGTAGGCATACAACATCAAGAGAAAAGGAGCTCATCTACATCGTTTACTCCGAGTGCCAAACAAAAAATTGTAGAGGCTATTACAGAAGGTAAGTGACATTAGAGTTTGATACTGTATAAACTATAAAGTTATAATCTACAAAAGAAGATTTGAGGGTGACTCGAAGAGGAATAAGAAGGGAAAACTGATTGGGTTATAGGATTATAGCTAAACAATTATTAACCCGACTATTATTTTCTGTAGGTGGATCTCAAAAATTTTCCCACATTCGTTCGTGTTGCCTTTCTGTTAATTTACAAAGTCCAATTTGATTCTAGAATATGTACAAGAAGATGATGGGGGATCAAAAACTTCGAACAACCAAGCTGATGATGTTCCCAAAATACCTTCATCGGCAAGAAGCATAGCTCAACTGATGCAGGACAGTATCACCCAACAGCCTCCTCTTTTTTTGATGCCTTGGGAAAGTTCAACTTACATCCTACAAAAGAACTCTGTAACCATTGAGGAATTTCCATCCAATGAAATCCTTAAGATCATTAATCCCGCTGTAGTTGAATTGAACGGTGGAGATACATATGAGAAAACTGTTCTACAAAATACTGACTTCACGTCAAAACCCTCAAATACTATAGAGGATGATTTTATGCTTTCTGAATGTGAGAGTGACCCGCTTGCCACCAGTGATGATAGCAATGACAAGGACTATATACCAACATTAAGGAAAAACTCAACTCACAGTAGAGATCCAGATGATATCGAAAACTCATCAGAACATGATGATAAAAATGAGCCGATGAAAACCAAGAAAAATACACGGAAGAGACAGAGGAATCCGGGTGAATGGAGAAGAAATGAAATAAAGAAGCTGCGGAATCTTGGTGAGAAGTATATAGACTGGAGAGTAAACCTTCGTCCAAAAAGGCAACTAAAACCACCTTGTACTAACTGCAGACAAAAAGTGCAGCGGAAAGTTCACAGAAGAAGAGAGGAAACAGATATTTGAGAAATATTGGCAACTGGGGGACGTCAATAGACAACGGGATTTTATTGCCCAGTATGTAGATATAATGGACAAGAAAAGAACACGGTTGAGAAAGCAGGATGGGAACAGTAGTAACGAAGATACAGAAAACACAACAGGAAGAAAAAAAGCGTTTTCCTTCAAGTATACATTTTTAAATCGTGGACAGAAAATAGCGGTCTGTAAAACTTTTTTTATGAATACTTTAGGGATAAGCGCCCAGGTCATTAAGACAGTGTTCTAAAAAATCGGTAGCACCGGTACAGTCGGGGCAGATCGGCGTGGTAAAGCATGCAAGAATTCTAAATTGAGTGATTCAATAAAGCAGTCAGTGAGGGACCACATTAATCTATTCGAAACAGTCGAGAGTCACGACTGCCGAAAAAATACTTCAAAGCAATTTCTGCCACCAACGCTTAATATTTCGAAGATGTATGGCCTTTATCTTGAATATTGTGAGCAGAACAACATCCAACCTGCGACAGAAAGCATTTACAGAATAATCTTCAACACCGAATTCAACTTCTCATTTTTCATCCCTAAAAAAGATTTGTGTGATATTTGCAACAAGTATGATGGCGGAACAACAGAAGAAAGAACTGAAATGGAAGAAGAATACCAGTTGCACAGAAAGAACAAGGACATTGGACGGGATTTAAAGAATGCTGATAAACAAACGGCTAAGCAAAATAGAGAATTTTGTGCAGCCGTTTTTGATTTGGAACAAATACTGCCTCTCCCCAAAAGTAATGTTGGTATGGCATATTACAAACTTAAATTATCAACATACAATTTCACGATTTTTAACTTGGCAAATTCTGAAGGACATTGTTACATGTGGTACGAGTCTGTTGGGAAAAGGGGAAGCTCAGAAATAGGCAGCTGTTTGATGCGCTTTATCGACCTCAAAGTACATGAAGGTACGAGAGAATTTTCTTTCTATTCCGACAATTGTGCAGGTCAAAATCGAAACAAATATATTTTTAGTACGTATAGCTTATTAGCACAGAAGCACAATATTGTGATAAGGCATACATTTTTGGAGAAAGGTCATACGCAAACCGAAGGGGATTCTATGCATAGTGTAATTGAACGAGCATCTAAGCTTATCCCTTTATTTACCCCTGATCAATGGTATACTTTAGTACGCACGGCAAAAAGAAGTAAACCGTATGTAGTAACTGAGATGGACAAAGAGGATTTTTTTGATTTGAAAGCGCTTGCCAAGGATACCATTTTGAATTGGGATCATGATGTGGAAAATGAGAAGGTTTCTATAAATAAAATACGAATTTTAGAGGCAACCTTCAGATTTCCAAATAAAATTTTATTCAAATACGACTAAAATGAACCGTTCAGAACAATTGATTTATTAACAAAAGGCAGGAGGACAATTGATGTTGATCTAAAAAATATACAGTTAAAGCAATGTTACAAGGGTGCTATCCCGATCATCAAAAAAAAGTATGATCATCTGCAATTACTATGTGACAAGGGGATTATACTACGGAAATTACTCAGATCACACAAATTTGATCTAATTCTGTTCGAAGTGCAGATAGGGGCCTACCAGACTTCATTGGGGCAAACCGCTTGAAGGGTGGTTAGAATATGATAAATAATCACGATTTATTGAAAAAATCCTGGACCTAACTCGATTTTGGAAAATTATGATTTTTTTCGTATATACATTATGTTAAGTGTCCTATGGGGTGAAAAACCATCTTCCGAGTAGCATAATTCTATGAGATACATGCAATGAAATCCTGGACCTAAGTCGATTTTCCCAAATGACAGGTGTTTGATTGAATTCTGATTGAAGTGCGGATTTATCGAAAAAAATTCTGGACCTAACTCAATTTCGGAAATTTATGATTTGTTTCGCATATACACCATGTTAAGTGCCCTAGGGGCTGAAAAACCATGTTCCGGGGCACACTCGGAAAGCCGCTACAAGATACATGCAATAAAATCCTGGACCTAAATCGCTTTTCGAAAATGATCAGCGTGTTTTCGATGTATTTAATATTAACATTGAGGTAGGGGTATTATTTGGGGGGGGTCTGTAGGCCATATAGCGCGACGTCGATTACAAGAGACATAAAGTATAGCTGTCTCATGCGATTAAGTTGAAAACCGCAGGTTTATATTATTATTTGTGCAACATTTTGATTTTTTGTGTTACCCCCCAATTTTAGAGTTCCTCTTGGGGAGCATATTGCGCATGTGGGCGGAGCTTCCTGGCGTCACCCGGAGAGTTGTCGGCTCGTGATTACCAGCGACAGGATTGTCGTAATGTTACTGCAGTTCACGTGTATCGTGGTTAATACTATATAGTGCGTTTTGTTGGTGTTTTTTGGTGGTTTTATGACCTGTTCTATTAGTTATACATACTTTATATAGCCTGTGTGGTTGATAAATTGTTAAAAATGCGGTGTGCTGTTGTGGGATATATTTCCGATAACCAGTCTAAATAGAATCCTTGCAAAGATACGAAGTTCTACAGATTTCCTCAAGACCCAGACCTTAGCAAAAAATGGCTACATCTTACAAAAAGAAAAGACAAAGTCAATGTAAAAAGCGCTAGGGTTTGCTCGAATCATTTTTGTGAAAGTGCCTATAAGGTCAATTTGAAATACATATAAGCTTTTGGGTTACACCCCTAAAAGATATCGTGCTCTAAAAGATGATGCCATTCCTATGGAAAATTTACCCAAGTCTGTATTATCACCTGGACCATCTATATCTGTTGATGGGGAAAAGCGGAAAAGTGCTTACGAAAAAAGGCAAAGATCTCAACTTATCCCCTAGAGTTGAAGTATAGAATAAGGTCATATATTTTGGGGCGAAACGAAGGCGCATACTCAGAGTATTGCAGCGTAGAGGAAGAGGATACTCCGGACATTCCACTAACCGCATCATTAACGAATAAACTGAATGCACTTGAAGTATCAGCTGACTATAACGAGGAAGTTTTAGTGGAAGAAATGGATGAACTCGGGTATGATGGGCTGAAAAATTTGGCCGGCTTTGTTTGCCATAAATTGCAGGATGAGAGGTTGAAAAGTTCCTCAAATGAAACTTACTCCTGGATAGATGATCTTAGTGAGAGTGGATTATCAAAACCGTCCACAGCTTTCATGAATCAAATTGAGACGCTTAAAAGGTGTTCAATACATTCAATGGGGACGGAATATTGACAGAGAAGAAAAAATTTATAGACGATTTTTTGTTGAAGAGCAGCAACATTGACGCCCTGAAAAAGCTAAAAAACTATTTTTCAGGTCAAGGATGTTCTTCCGGATTAAAGAACTGAGTAAAAGTTTGGAAGACCTGAAAAATCATGAAAGGAAATGGAGAAAAATTGTGGCTTAGACTAAGTCATTTCCATTTATTGTTATACATTTTCACACTTGCATGTAGTTAGTATTTAGGATGTTCTGTGAAAGAAGGATGAATAATTATTGTAGTGCAATATTAACGTCATGAGCATGTTAGTCCTGCTCCACAGAACATACTAAAATATAGGTAATATAGAAAAATCTTGTTTTTACAGTAAAGTTTAAGCTATAGCCTATGAAATATGGATTACAAGGTTAAAATCATTTATGAAAATCCGCCATTTTGTTTTGTATAAAATGTTAATGTATCTAGTGTCATTCGCACCGCTAAGACGAATCCAACGACACCTCATATGTGAAAATCTAACAAGCCGTTTGAGCTGTAGCCTATGAAATATGAATTACAAGGTTTAAATCTTTTATGAAAATCTTGCCATTTTTTTTTTGTATAAAATTTTAATGTATCTAGTGTCACTCGCACCGCTAAGACGAATCCAACGACACTTCATATGTGAAAATGCGTCCAGCCGTTTGGCCTGTAGGTGAAAATATGTACGTTTTCCATATCAACCCAAATGATAATCACTCTCCGCGTGACGTCATGCGCGCCAGCGGACGAAAATCGAACAGCGGAGCATCCGGCACTGCGGTGTACTCGCATAATACATAAAATAAACATTATTACGTGAAAACCGCTATTTGAGCCAAATTACATGGTTGTATGTTGCAATGAGAAATTTTGTGCATTGCTGCCTATATAACGTTTTCAATCGCGCTCAATCGGTCGGTTCTTCAGCCACATATATATTCAATATTATATTGTTTAACTGATATAAGTTATAGGTCTAAAAAAACTTGGAATTAGATTGCTTGTTCAAAAAATTGTATAATCATCAACACTGTTTTCCATTACAATAGATTTATGTAAGTATATTTTTTGTCTTAATAGTATAAGAAGCAGAAAATTGATTCTTTTTATATTTCAACAAATCATTTTAATATGCAAAATAGAGTTCAAAACTGATACTGAATTATTAACATATTTATCCAGCCTAAGCTAAAAATGTAATCAAAGCATTACCAAAATTCATTAACACATAAAGCTGAATTAAAGAAGTCATTTTGTGAAAAAGTAACTAACCTATGGAAAATGTAAACCGCACCTTGCATTTTAAATTTTTCTTTTTTGTCAAAATAACATCAGTCTGAAACACTTTCTGTCAGTGAAGAAAAAATATTATGGATATAATACAGGAAATTAAATATCAAATATTTTATTAATTAAACCTGTATAACTCTTTTTTGTTCTAGCCATACTGTAGTTATATATATTTTTTTAGAAACATGGGTCAGACACTATCAGAACCAGTAACAACCAGGGACACTGCCTGCTGCCAAGACAAAAAGTTCAAGGTAGGATCCAGCTGTATGCAAGGATGGAGGGTAAATATGGAGGACTCACATACACATCTGCTATCTTTACCAGATGATGCAGATACAGCATTCTTTGCTGTCTATGATGGACATGGCGGTGCCAAGATAGCAGATTATGCTGGCAGGCATTTACACAAATATGTCATTAAGAGGCCAGAGTACCAAGAGGGAAATATTGCAGAGGCCATGAAACAGGGATTTTTAGGTGACTAGGATTTATTTTTGTTATACAGAGTGGTCCATGATGAATGCCTGAAAAAGTCATCCTAGTAATCTCCCATGTTTGACTGGCCTAATCAGATCACATATATCTTTAAAATTTCTGTTTATCTTTTGACAATACATATATTCTCAAAAGTGTCAGTTGTACTTGAAAAAGGAAAATTTTAAACATATATGTGGTTTGACAAACGGGGGATTATCAGCATGAAATCTACAGCGTAAGTTTCAGATATTAAATTAAAAACATTGAACTCATGAAAATATCGATGTTTACTAAATAAGCCTTAGTAAAATGGTGCTTCCAAATTCGTTTTTTCTCTATAGTTCAAGCTTTCCAATATCAATGAGGGAATCATTAGCTATAATCATGCAATTTTAAGCCATAATTTGTTGCTCATCTTATTGGATCTAGCGCAATTGAGAACTTTCAAGTTAAAAAATCCTCTACCTTCATTTCAATTAATGGGCCACTTTTGAGATATTTGGATTTCAACATTCAGCTGGCTAAAAAGGACAGCTCTAGCTGATTTCTTGTCAATAAAGGCATTTTATTATTATATTCATGAAATGGTTGGGTTAAACCTAGTCCATGAACAGTAAAATATGTTATAGATAAGAAATTAATGTTATTATGGATATTTAACAATGCCAATATGAATAAGTACCTATTGTCCAAAATCTATGACTGACTATGTTCACTCCTCATTCTTATCATAGTCCACTCAAGTGTTCTTGAGTCGGCCAAAATTCATCACTATTATAATTCGAAAAAATGTTTCTACCAAAAAAGTTATTGCATAAATTAGAGATATGATTGGCCGAAACTAGCTCTGTTTGTACTTGTTCTCAATTTTCGTGTTGATATAGATACTGTCAGTATTTTATGCTATAATTCTGATTATTAGCTTTATTCTGACTCTTCATAGCTTTCGTGTGATATGTGGAATGATCTAACACCATACAATTATTGATTCTTGACAATGTCCAGAAAAACCGTTTTGGTCATGAAATCGGTAGCTAAAGGAAAATCTGCATAGATACGTCCAGCGCCGCCCGTAGGAATTTTTCTCAAAGGGGGTCGCGATCATTGGAAAGAGACTTTTTGTGAAAGTGTACCTGCCCCCAAAAGTTTTTGAAAAGCGCGGCTAGCAAGTTTTCCTAAATCCCAATCCTCAAAATTGTACACAAAACCATGGTAAATTTGCAGATCTTAAAGGTCCAACCTGATTCCCAGGAGGAAGGGGTGTCGGTTGGCCACCCTGCGAGCGCCCGTGGATACGACTGACGTCGGTGGTTGGTCTAAAACGCAATTTGATGTTAGGAAAATTTTGAATTTCAAGCACACCTTTCTCTTTTGTTACTAAACTACATCATGTTATATTCAGCATAGGGACCTAAAAGTTAAATAGCTGTGAGGTTTTGAAAATCGAAGTTATTTTATTATTATTATGCCATCCCATAGCTATTTAACTTTTAGGACCTTGCGAGCAATTTACACGATTCGGTCTAGTAACGAAAGAGAAAGGTATGCTTGAAATTCAAATTTTTTCTAACCTCAAATTGGTTTTGACCCATCGCCGGTGTTTTTGCTCTCCGCCGTAGTATAGAAGTTGTTATAAAAAAACTTCATGTCATCCCATACTCATTTAACTTTCAGGTTCTTACGCGGAATATTACATGATTTAGTTCAGTTTAAAGAAAAAGATATGCTTGAAATTCATATTTTTTTAACCTCAGATTTCTTACTTGACCAATCAGCGTCGGCAGTCGTATATACCGTATTTCACGACTATCCATCTCGGTAGAATGACATCTGGTTATCTAGTAATATTTCAAAATTCCCCATATCTGGGAGGACACATAATTCTGACGGATCCGTCAATGTCAGGTACACAGAGCAATATTTTGTTTTGGTTTTTTACGCTATATACTATTTATTTTCTACTTTTTAAATGATATTTTATTTAGAAAAGTTCATTTGCATACAAAAAAAACGCTACATACAAATTTTTGCTAGATTTACACCCAATTTATTGTAGCCAACGTTGCAGACTAACACAAATATGTCAATTGCTGATCAGCTGTTCAACTCAGTAGACGTCAAAGCGTGATGGATACTCGTGAAATAGGGTATATCTGTGCAGCCTAACCTTAAACACATTTTTAAGACGAGACTGCTTACACCTTATTTACCTCTAAACAAAAAAAACTGTTTCCGACTATTATAAGTTCAGACATAAAATACTTGGGAACTGCTAGTCCAGACAGCTAGATCGTATCGCCTTCTTAGTAGGTTGTATATTCAAATGATTCAAAAAAGTGTGGCAATATTTCTACAGCAGAGAATGCATTTAAAAATGGCAAAAAGGGGTAATGGACCTATTTTCTGAATTTGTCCTCTAGCTGAGAATTCAAAACAGTTCATGAATATTTCTCTGATAATGTTGTATTAAAGTGGCATTACTTCCATAACACTAGCATATAGCTTTCAGTATTCTATTTCATTCTGATCAGCTAATTTTCCGGTCAAATGAAACCACATACAAAAAAAACCCAAATATCGCTGACTAGGTAATGCGTACGAGACAGAAGCGTGCAATACGTACCGATGTTAAAACGAGTGTGCCGATGGCGACGCGGAAAGCCATGAAACTACACAATAAGTTTCATGGTACTTTATAACAGACATTTTTTACCTCAGCAACCAATTTTTCCCCAAAGTTAATTAACAGTTTTAACAAAAATTCTCAAGAGAGGCAATTGACGAAAACTTAAATACCTTATTCAAGAATCAGTGGCTCAAAATATATTACATTTCTTCTGTACAAGTCAGTGTATCTGCGCAACTGGTAAACTTTGATACTTGAATGTATTGAATATATGTGTGTGCTACAAGTATTGAAATTTATGTACTGTCCCAATTTCATGAATACAACTTTAAAATCAAGTATCGCTATCTAGGATAGAACATTTTAAAACTAGACATCCTTGTGGATGGATATCTAATATAACTGAAGGATATAGGATATTCTCCATTGTAAAACTTGCCAGCCTTTTTTGCATTTACTATCAAAAAAAAAAACTTTCTTTGCATTACTCATCATTTACGGCCTAGTTATGAAATTACCTCTAGAGTACAGCTCTTTCATAGACAATGTATTGCAATCATTTTTCATTTGCAGAATTAGACAACCACATGCGATATGAAGAAAGCTTAGGAAACGAGCCATCTGGCACGACGGCTGTGACAATCATCATTAAGGGCAATAAATTGTACTGTGCTAACGTAGGCGACTCTAGGGCGGTGGCCAGCATCAGTGGCAAGTCGGAGGAGCTGTCGGAAGACCACAAACCCTCCAATTCCAAAGAATATAACAGAATTGTGGCTGCGGGCGGTTGGGTGGACGCGAATAGGGTGAATGGGAGCCTAGCGCTGTCTAGGGCACTCGGTGATTATGCCTTCAAGAGGAACCAGTATAAAGGACCTGAGGAGCAGATGGTTATAGGTGAGTATAACTTTTAGTAGTTAGTACTAGCAAGGCCTGGCTTTTCAATCCGAAGTAAACTGTAAGTTTAGCCATACTGCCATACAAGCCAATGAAAAGGCTGACATGGCTGCAAAATCTGCCATTATTTCAGGAGCTAGAGAAAAGAAAACAATTGTAAAGAGACATACGTGGTTTATACAAGGCATACGTAATTTCGGAGTAGAAAACTATTTGAATAGAGATCTGTCAACAAAGTAATAGCTATTTCAATTTTAACATCAGTAAAAAGTGCTCTGCTACATTAACGAGAATAAAAGTCGAACCATGAAAATTTCTCAGCACATCTTCACAAAATAAGATTAAGAGAGGCAGCCCTCTGTGAGGTCGACGGACAAGTAGGTGATCTTAATCGTCTGTCAATGAAGAAGATATAAAACTGGTACAGATAAGCTCATATAACTCGTAATCCAGATGGGACATCACCTTCCGCTGAACATTAATCTATAATATCATCTGAAAATAAAGATGTCTACCGTGCATTACTAGACCCAGGATATAATTTTAGTTTATTAGATCTTTGTGGCCACTCCTCAACAACAAAACTAATTTTACTGCTAATCAGGAGTTACCTCCCAAGAAGCATTTTTACTCCAAGGTTTGCCCTAAAACGGTAATTAACCACATGGGCATGTAGGGGATAATTATAAAGTTGCAGCTAAATGGCAATGTCAAACCTATTTTGCTTGACACTGTTACACGAGTTTTACGGTCGACCCGAGTCACGAACATAAAATGCACAAAACATACGTAAATGCAGCCTTACCACATCAATCATCAATAATTACGAGTTAGTAGTTTGAGAAAAAATTCAGTTACGAATATATATAATAGGGAAATTAAACGGATCAAATCAGTCAAACAGGCCCATACAAATAGTCTATAGAGATTCTTTCCCTGTCCTGTCGGCAGTACCTATCCATCTGGCAGCGTTGTTTCTTATCACATCTGCTCGGGAGAACCCACCGCGGTATCGCTGCAGCTAGTTATCTTTCCGTGTATATGTTTTGTGTGCAGTAGTACGGATAGATTAGTGTAGCAGGACCGGTGCGCCGGTCGGTGAGCTTAGATAGCAGGAGTACGCGGATCGAAAACATGTCAAGTTAGAAAGGCAAATGTGAAAGAATTAAGAGGGTAATTGCTTTTTTACTCACCACTTTCTCTCTTCAAAAAATATTTGGTTTTCTTAAAAACCCAATTTGCTACAAAATGGGGTTTCAAGAAAATTGAGGATTTTTCGAAGAGGCAAATCGATAAAAAAGTAATCACAATTCTACTACAAAAGCGGAATTTTGACATACAATTTCAGAGCATTCAGAGCTGTACTAATATTTGTTAATAAGTTACGATGGAAGAAGAAATGCATGTCTGGACAAAAAATGATAACATTGTATTTTAGTCATCTCTATAGACACCATGAAATGATCTGATGAAAAGGATTTAGAATAAATACTGCCTCAAGAAGGCAGTTGGAAAAGAGATACATGCGAATCTCTGGATAACGTGCTGAGTAAACTACCAAACCTTACGTATATATGATATTGTATTTTTATTTAATTATATTGTAATAATATAATTTTATCTGTTACAGCGTACCCTGACGTGGTAGAGCGTACGATCGACGAGAACTGGGAGTTCATCGTGCTAGCTTGCGACGGTATCTGGGACGTAATGAGCACCAGAGAAGTGGTGCGATATGTGCGCGAAAACATCGCCGCTGGCTTGGAACCTGAGGATATTTGCGAGAACCTGATGATGCGCTGTCTGGCGCCCGATTGCCAAATGGCCGGGTTGGGATGTGACAACATGACTGTGGTCATTGTTGCGCTGTTGCACGGCGACACTTACGAAAAGTTGCAGGAGAAGTGCAAGGTGCCTATCGTGGACCCCACGTTGTTCGAACAACTTCTTGCGGTAATTATTAGTTTATCTAGATCTTTCTAATTCTAATAACGAATTACTTGATCCATGCTACAGAGTGCATTTGATAAATGGATAATGAAGCTGTCCGCTCAGTGATTTGAATTTTTGTTGCTATTGACTCCTCATTTTTGTAAGGGATGCATATTTCAGCTTTTGATAATGTTAGGTGTGTAATCGAATAATAGTACCACGTGTCAAAAGAACTATCTGTGTCAATACCTTTCAAAATGGATTGCAGAGTCGAAGGTATGTACGTAGTCGTGCCATAAGTTCTGTCCCATGATAATCTCATGATAAAAATGAAACAAGATAAGATATATTTATATGAAAGATATTATTTATTCGACAACATTTTTAGAATTCATAATCAAACAGTTTTATTCAAAATGTCCCCCCTTGGCCTTCACACACTGCTTCAATCTCGCGGGCCACTCATCTATCACTGCACGCACAGCTTCCAAAGGAATAGCTGCCGCTGATCGGATCAAATCCGCTTTCAGGGACTCGATATTACGGTGGGCTTTGGAGCAGGCCAACTGCTCTAGCAGGTCCCACAACTTGTAGTCTAAAGGATTGAGGTCCGGACTCCCTGAGGGCCAATCTTCCGCAGCAATGAACTCTGGCACATTGCTTTCCAGCCAGCGCTGCGTACTCTTAGCCTTGTGAGCGGGGGCGGAATCCTGCTGGTAGACCCAGTGTTGGTTGGCAAACAATATACCACTTAAAGGCTTGACGATAGGATCCAGTATGTCGCTCTGATAGTTTGCCGCTTTTGTTTTCACGCCCTGTTTACAGAAATGGAGCTGAGTGACCCCTTCGTAGGACACCCCCCACCAAACCATGACTGACGCAGGGTGGTGGCCTCTCTCAACTCTCGGAATGATCTCCGAAGCTTCCTGTGAACTCCTTGCATACACTTTGTCATTTTGTCGGTTGAATTTTTCTTCTATGGTGAAGATTTTCTCATCCGTGAACAAAATCTTTCGGAATCCCCCAGCTGCGTACCTCTCCAAGAGCTTCTTGGATCTTGTCGCCCTGATGTGTCGCAAGGTGGCCGTAAGTCGCTGGCCCGTACGTCTCCGGTAAGCCCCTAGCCCTAGGTCTTGTTTAATGATGCGCGACATCGTCCGGACAGGAATCTTCATTTCCCTGGATAGGATCTTCTGCTTCCGGAGTGGATTCCTTTGAATCCTGGCTTTTACGGCTTTGATGGCTGCTGGAGTCCTTACTTGACGAGGTCTTCCGCTTCTTGGCCTGTCATCAACAGAGGACGTCTCATTGTACCGCTGAATGGTCCTAGACACAAATTTACGCGATATTTGAAGGCCGCGTAAGAGTTCAAAAATCTGACTAGCACTGTGATTACACTTATGTAAAGCTATCACTGCAATACGGTTCTCTGCCTTGCCCCACTCCATCGTTATGCTTCGAGAGATCAATACAAACTGAGGTATATGTAATTACCCGAAAAGCGCTTAATCAACTGACACCACAATGTAAACAATCGGACAAGTATTAACAGGTCTACACTTGTTTGAAAACGAGGGACAGAACTTATGGCATGACTACGTATTATATGGCATGGCATTATTTTGTCAATTAACTCATGACCCGATACGACAATTGTAATATGAAGGGTACAGGTCCATAATGAGCTAAGTCGCCAAATGTTTATTTCGTACAAAACAGAGTTTAGCTTTTAAAACTAGTAATTGATAAATTCTTGATGGTTATTATGAATTCTGTTAATTAGATTAGTTATTTGGGTAATTATTGAGACACACACAAGAAATTAAACTTATATTGTCATTTATACAAAGTAGAACATAAGCATTAATTGGTCAAACCATCAAACATTGTTGGCCTAAAGGGGCCAAGTCCAAAAAAAAACAAGGTATACCGAAAAGTAGACAATAGTTATTAATATAAAATATACTTCTAGTTCTTGGGCAGGTTATCGAAAAATTGTTTTGCTTCGTCACCACAGAATCGTTTTAAATCTTGTAGGTGTTTAAATTTTTTAGCCGTGATGGGTATCAAACCTAAAAATAATTTTGTTGTTTAAAAAAAATAGTATTTCAAGATATAAGTATTTTTTATACCTGAATAAGAATACGGAGGAAGTACAAATTCATTTTGCAATAGCACAGGTCCCTTTCGCTTAGTCTCTTTTCCCTTCACTATTGCTGACTCCCATGCTCCATTATAGGACTCTCGGTAATATATTAGTCTATGATGTTCTTGATGTATTTCTAATTCTCGAATAGGACGGGAACGGAAAGGACATTTCTTCAAATAATCCGTTTTGGTATTAAAAAAATTTGTCCATGCTCGAAAGTAGGATTGATCTATTTCCACAACGTCAAATGGTGATGGTTTTGCACGAGCACTTCTAAAAATTTCTACCCAATCTGAAGGAATCTCTGCTCTTTGGTGGGAGTTTATTAAGCCCATATTTTTGTCCGGTTCCATGTAGGAATGCCCACGAATAGGAAAAGTAACTTTAACATAATCAAGTCTATGTGTATTGTGGACAATATAATGCAAAAAACGAAACATCGTGTAATTTTTATTTTGCCCTCCACACGAGTCACAGAATATTTCAAGCGATCTTACTTGTAAATCGAGAAAATTCCATAAAAAGTCATTCAGCATTGAGCATACATCGTCGCTTCCCTTTTTGCCAAGTGTTTCCGGGTAAATGTAAAACACACTTTTTGCTGTCGATAGAATGTGGATATTAAAGGCATAGACGTCAGCTGGCTCTTATAGTAAACATCGTTTGTTGTTATGTTTGGGACACTGAGATTTTGTCCAAAATCGAGACAAATAGCTTCGTGAGTCACAGAGGTTCGACTTCGTTTCTTCGCAGCCCTTTTTCTACTGTAAAATACCTCAGCCTTTCTTTTGTGTACATCATTTTGTATTGTAATATGGCGTATTTCCTTTTGAAAGCGTTCTTTTTGAGCAATATCCATACTCTTTAAAACATCAGACTGAAGAGATTTTATTTTTATAAGAAACTCATCGCAAGAACTACATGTATCGGTCCTGGGATATCCAAAGGCTATGTTGAATTTTGTATTAAAGACTGTCCTGTATGACTCGTAAGATACTTTCATAGAAGGGTTCAACTCGCAAAACATTTTGAACATCTTTTTTATGTTTAAGTCTTCAGGTAAGTATAATTTTCTACTATCCTTCACACTGTAGTGGCTTTTCCTGCCTTTAAATGACTTTATATGTTCGTATATTGCTGCAAGAACGTGAGCATCAAATTTTCTAGGATGGTTTTTATTTTCTCCTTTTTTATCTTTTGGAGCGACTCCAGTCATTTTTAGTGACTTTTGTAGTATCTCTAATTTTTTTTTCTTTATTCCATGAACAGACATAAAAGCTTGTCTACAAATATTTATTTCCTGTAAGCTATTATCAGTTCTAAAACGTACCCTGTAAGAATATGCACTACTTCTCAAATTTGCTACGTCTTCATCTTTCCTAGGCCTTCTTCGGCGAATGAGGAGTACCGTAATCAATCCACATAAGTAGGAGTTCTGCTAATTAATAGAAGTCATTGCGTTAAAATTCTTGAGAATGGTTTTTCTTGCTTCTTCAGGTACATTTTGGAAACATTGTTTACGACAGTTACAGTTTGCACCTACCTCGTGGCTCTGCAGTCTAATCTTTTTCATGACATCTCTCATTCTGCCGTACTTTTTCCTCTTTTTTGATTCATTCTGTCTAGATACTACTTCACTCTCATTTTCGCTACTATTGTTCTCAGTATTTATTGTTGTTTACTTTTAAATTACTTGAAAAACATTGAAAACACTAGCTACTCCGACTAATCCAACTCTAAACTGCGCGTATTAGATCGACATCTATCAGCTGTTTATATGGACTTTACCCTTTTAGGACCTGACTGATGCGGACTTGCCCCCTATTGGCGGTGTATGCGTAAATAAGAATTAGAATTTCACAGGCACTAAGCGCTTTTAGGACGTGTTCAAGTCGCTGACCACTTCTACGTTAAAATTGCTACAAGATGGCACCACTAGATCTATTCGTGTAAAATTACGACTTGCCCCCTTTTGGACCTGTACCCTTCATATGCAATTGGTAATTTAACATAGTTCATTGTTGAATTGAAAATGAGTTAGAAAAAACGTCGATTATAGTCCGCCCTGTTTTGAATAGTACCATGTTTATAGGGCTAGCTATGAACACGTGGAACAAAAAATTAGGTGGCTCAAGTCAGTCAAACAGACCCATATTAAAATACCGCCCCCCCCCCCCCCTGAGAAAATTTCTCGCAATTTCACAAAATGTTATCTCTTGCCAATAAATGTGCTCCCGTTACATGAGAAAAAAAATTGAGGGCGCACATGAACGTTGCTATGACTGTAGTGCGCTAACGGTTTGTGGAAATTTGACCATTTTAGTGAATCTGAAATCTGAGTGGTTCAATATGGACGGGAGGCTTGAAGTGCATCTCTAATGACTGGCCTATAAAATTACTACCAGGTATCTTTTTTCTAAATTAATGGATCAGATATTCATGATAGACAAACTCGCTCATGTTACCTGTATGCCACACTTCTACACACTACAGAGCAATTCAAGAAATTTTTTAGTTATATTGCTGCGAAAATTTTCAACCCTTTGCCTTCCTATGTAAAGAATGCTACAAGTGTTAGTACTTTTAAACATGCTTCAAATCCATCATAATATTTTCATATAACTTTGTATTATTTGGTTTAATACTGACGTTATCGGTTATCTGTAATTTATTCTGTAAACAGGATGGCCCAACGAAAAGGTTGCACTCCCATTTGAGACTCTCCTGATATATTTTTGGAAAAACGCTGGGGCACGTCAGTTTTCATTTCTAGGGGGACGTCTTTTCATCTATAGCCGTACAATACAGGGTGATCCAAAATTAAGATATTTTGTTACACTTTAGATTTTTAAATGGAACCCCCCATTTTTTGAATTATTAAATTTTCCATGAAGTTTTTAGTAACATTTGTATAATAAAGTTTATAAGTATCTTCAATTGTTGTGAAGCTCTTTGAGTTTATAATGTGATAAATATTGAACAATTACTTATTCAATTCAAGAAAGTGTAGAAATAAAAAAATGTATTACCAAATTAGGAGCATTGCAACAGCTACTGCCCGGTTGTTTAATGCGTTACATCCAGATAAAAAAAATAATAAGTATGTGGCTAATTTGATAACAAAATTTGAAGAAACTGGATTATTCGCCGTAATCACCATCAAGAAAATGACCAGTTAGAAATGAAGCCGCAGAAACAGCAGTTTATGGACACGTAGCATTTAACAACACCGAAAGCACTCGTGGACAGACTACTTCTTCGGGATTTACACGCTCAACAGTACAAAGAATTTTGAAAGACAATACATTTCACCTGTACAAGATAAAACTGGTCCATGAAGTTAATGAACACGATTTTGATAGAAGGTTGAAGTGTTGCAAATTAATGTCCCAACGTTTAATCAGCAATGCAAATCTGTTATTTAATATGTGTTTCTCGGATGAGTGTACGTTCTATTTAAATGGTGGTGTGAATCGACATAATTGTCGATATTGGTTTGACATCTGTTTCGAGGGGTACATGCAACATCCTGAGAAAATAAATGTGTGGGCCGGCATTTTCGGAAATCATATTGTATGACATTTCTTTATTCTTGAAAACTTGACGTACTTGGACATAATATAAATTATAATTCAATAAATAATATAAATACAAGCCACAAATTACAGATATAATAGAAAACGACGTTAATTATAATTAAAATTACATTCATTTCCAACAAGATAGTGCACCGCCGCACTATGTGGCTCCAGTACGACAGTTTTTGGACAACCATTTTCCGAATCAGTGGATTGGCATACGATGCCCCATCCAGTGAACGCGAAGATCTCTTTCAGATTACTTTCTTTGGGGGCAATTGAAAAGTAAAATTTTTAGTACGAAGCCAGATTCTATTCAAGATCTTCAGCGGATTACGACTGAATGTAGACAAATAACTCAAGACATGCTTGAACATGTGACGAATAGATTCGAAAAAAATCTTTGTTATTGCATGGAGGTAAATGGACACTACATTCGGCACTTATTACCACATTGACCTAGCTCTTTATAGCAAAAAAATTTTTACTTTAATTTGTGCGAGTAAACTGTAAGTTGTTTTTTGTTTTTTTAATACACGGAGACTTGTTTTTAATTTTAAAGTAAAGTCTTGTTGCTCTGGGAACTATATTGATTATTTTTACAACATTTCTAGAATTTCATTATAAACTCAAATAGTTCCACGATTGAAGATAGGTATACAGTTTATTATACAAAAGTTACTAAAAACTTCACGGAGAATCTAAAAATTAAAAAAGAGTTTCCATTTAAAAATCTAAAGTATAGCACAATATCTTATTTTTGGATCACTGGTATTCTATCTTCATCGTTTTCAGGGTCACTACGGAAGGTTCTTTCATTAGTGTAGATGTTCCAGCACAATCCTAACCACTGGAGACCACAACGAAAGAGATAGTCTCTCTTCTTATCAAACGCACCTTATTAATATTAAGTCGTCACTACAGTGTAGTGTTCTCCACAACACACATGCCTTTATGATGGATATGCAATTTTTAACCATAGCCTATGTCTCAACAGTACAACTAATTTTCATTCATTTTCATTGGGCAGCATCACTTATAATAATACCTTTTAATGATATTTTAAATAGTTTTGTGTTATTTACCTTCACCGTAAAATTTTAGTTGAAAGACATTTTACATTGCCATTTTTAGAGAAGCTTATATTTAACTTGAGCTGTTTGGCTGTGTGGGACAAATTTTTTAACTGAATTTCAAACCAGTTACACTCAACCAATTGAGCTAAAATTTTGTACACATGTTTGGTTCGCGTGGCAATAGAAAATGAATTAACTGACGCCGTTTTAAATCAGTGTAGAAAATGAATTAACTGACGCCGTTTTAAGTCAGTGTTGTAAAAAATTATGATTTTTAATGAAAAACATCTGAATTTTTTCATTAAATTGTTTTTTCAATTTGTACTTGATTTGATAGACTCAATAGACACGTCTGGAAAGCGTCATACATCTGCGTATTTGACAGACTTTGCCATAAATTTGATAAAACCACGCAAGATGTACCATAACTGCGCAGCGAGTAGCATTGTTACCGATAATGCAGCCAATTGGAACAGTGAGAAATAAAATACAAGAATCCACTGAATGAACGTTATTACATATGGTTGCGCTTCTCATATTTAAAATTTACTTTGTCAAGATTTGGATGTTCAGGATATCAAGGAGCGTTGTGTTTGTCGTAAAGTGTTTTCGACATAATCACTCTGTTTCTGCGATATACGCAAAAGAAGGCTGAAAACATGTGTCCTACATAAAGACGCTGAAGACTATTTAGCGATTCTGAAGCCTATTTCAGTTGCCATTGGTAGGCTTCAAAGAACTGATGTATTCCTTTCTCATGCCGTACAGTAATTCAAAAATCTCGAATCAGCGTTTGAGTCGAATACAAAGATTTAGACCACATCTATTAGCAGACGACGAAAAGAATTGAGCTTTGAAAGCTGCAAAAGAACTAATTTCCAATGGGTTCGTGAAACTAATAAATCAATTCCTGATAAAATCACTTCCTTTTATCGACATAATGTTTGATGAAGAAATTCTGAAAACTTCAAAAGCTTTAGATTTGTGGAAATACCAACAGCTATTCAAAAAGTACTGCCCATTATTAAACAACTGATATCTGCTGCAGATTCTTCAGCATCTGTCGAAAGAGGATTTTCGACATTTGGTTTGGTACATTCCAAACTTCGAAAAAGCTACTAAATTAGTTTTCTTGCATTGCAGTTGACTTCCTAAATACATATTTTGTGTTTGTTTTTGGTGAGTTAGCCTGAGTAACGTTTTTCTTCACTGTACATATTATACTATTCAGGTATTCGTTAATAATTTTTATTTGTTATTTATTCATGTAGGTAATATTATAAACTATAAACTGGTTTTGTTCTTGTAAACTGTGTTTTCTTAAGTTTAGTTATGAATATTTACATTCGACTCATGTTTTTAAACTCCCATAATGAATGTAAACTCATTAGTTTTAAATAAACTATCTTCCTTTTTTTTAACTTCCTAATGAGTTATTTCCGTTATTTGCTTCGGCAACTATTTTTCCAGAAATTCATAAATTTAATTTATATCATTTGGTTTATAAAATGGCGATTTATAATTTCCATGGTCGCTACTATAAATAAGGTCAGTATAAATTCCATATGACGATCGCTGCAAAATATTGATTTATCATTATATGCCTTATATCTATCGAAATTTTATATTACAACCAAAGTAAGAAGTTTTATGAGGTCCTAATAATAAAATTTATGACAGGTGTATAGAAATTATCAAACTAGTTATTTGAGGTTATGCGTACTAGAAAGCTAAAAATGAATAAAAAAATATATTTTTAAAAACAAACTATCTACCTATTAATAAAATAAACTAAACATTTAAATTTACATATATTCTTTCCGATTGGAAATATTTAGACTTATTTAATGATGCTCCTTCAACGCAAGTTTGCAAATAGATGTGTGTTACTCACCCTGTTTTCATCCTGCAGTAAAAACGTAATACTCTTTTATTTGCAAACTTGAGATTAATGAGCTTCATTAGGGTCTAAATAATTCCAATCGGAAAACATAATTTTTAAATTTTCAATCATTCTATTAATAGATAAATATAATAGCTTGTTTTTAAAACGTATTCTTTATTTTATAGATTTCTGTCATACTCGCTTTCGTCTCGGTATAGCATGAGAAGCACTCATGCTTATAAGCAACAATGTATACACATTGCTATACTAATATCTATGTCCTAAAATAGTTTTTTTCTTTGCTATTTATTGCATTAGTTATCGTTCTCAGAGAGTTTTATGTAACGAATTTATATATAACAGCAATTTATTAATGACTTTAAGCGTTGTGTTTTAATTTTCATTTCTTTATTGTATAAAAAATGTTACTTTAAAAACATTGAATAATGGACTATATTAAAATTTATCACTTTGAATTACTGTAGCTATTTTTTTGACCTCAAATCAATTTTCCGTCGATTGTCTATATAACATAACCTTACATTTGTACACTTTGACACTTGAATTACAGTTGCACATTGCACAAGACTTTCATCTGTTCTGCTGCTTCAAAATGTTGTCCATAGTCTTGAAAATGGCAAGAGCAAAGCAACTATCGAAAGAAAATCGTGCTCAGATAGTAGTTTTGGAGAGATTCGCCGAAACCGAATCGTTTTCCGACAGGAAACGCTTAGGCCGGCCCGGAAAGACGACAAAAAGTGATGATAGGCTTATACAAGTGTTAAGTAAGCGGTCTATATTCAAAACAGTGCCAGATATTACAGCCGAGATCAATCAAACGCTACCGAATCCGATCTCCGAAACAACGGTCACAAATCGGCTGCATGACGTCGGTTTGTATGGACGTGTCGCTACCAAAAAACCATTGTTGCGGTCAGTAAATATTCGTAAAAGAACACAAAAATTGTTCCATCGAACAATGGAAACAAGTCTAATGAACCGATGAGTCCATATTTGAAATTTTCGGTAGCAAACGGCGAACGTACTGCCACAGAAAATCTGATGAACGCCGTGCACATCAATGTGTAATGCCAACAGTTATGTTTGGTGGTGGCAGCGTGATGGTATGGGGGTGTTTCTGCTACGCTGGTGTCAGCGCCTTAGTGAAAATCCATGGGAAAATGCGGAAAGCGGTCTATCACCGGATACTTTAGCGGAGCGCTATTCCATCTGGCATCGATTTGGTAGGGGAAGGGTTTGTGTTTCAGCAAGATAACGACCCTAAGCTTACATCAAAACTTCGTACACATTATTTAAGAACGAAGCTGCACGCACTATTGAATTGATGGAATGACCACCACAATCGCCGGATGCTAATCCTATCGAACTGTTGTGGTATAAGCTGGACAGGGAGGCGCGAAAACTGCGTCCAACCAGCGAATCTCACTTGTGGCAATGTCTTCAGCAGGCTTGGCAAGGATTGTAACCAAAAATACTACAGAAATTAGTGGAGAGAATGCCCAGAATTTGTAGGGCAATCATCAAATCGAAAGGCCAATATATTGACGAAAAACGGCTGGATTCATTTTTCATTTGTTTACACAAAAAATTCAAAAATATCACAAGTAAATATTTGCAACTTGTTTATAGAATGTTATTCCAAATAAGCAAGGTTATATAAAACGGTCTGAGAACGATAAAAAATAGATTTTTCTAAGTGAGGCCAAACTTTTTCAGTGCAGTGCATGTTGAATTGAAATGTATACGTTTTGGACACCTTGGCGGCCCGTTTCAAAATACAAAATGACAATATATTGTATTTATCTGCCTTCTAGGTGATAGTTCATTTGTTTTGGTCGCTAACATTGTATCTTCATTTCAGAAGGTTGAAAGAGGTGAATATATAAGTAGCACAACTTTTTACGAACCGGAGGACCAAGAAAGTGAAGAGGAAAATGATGAGTCTCCAGCAAATGAGCAATCTGGTAATTCTGAAAAATGTGGGGTAGAATAACATCAAAGTGAGACTAAACTGTGTTCCATTATTGTAAATAAATATAAATTATGTACATACATTTCATATATTATTTTCGATTTTGGTATAACGTATTTTATGCAATTCTATACTCTATTTTTGTAGTATACTTCTCAGCAGGGTATGTTGGACATTGCAGCGTTTTTGTGTTTGCCAAAGTGGTTAGATGGATGTTTTGACCTGTGAAGCATTGACATGGATATATGTATGCGTGCACTGTGTTCCAGTGCTGTATAAAATAATTGCAAAATAAATCTGAAATTTAAATCATTACATTAACTATTAGTGTAATGTACTGTAAAATATGAATTGAATAGTTATGCTTGGAAAATTCAAATAATGCCTATCAATGGGAAAATGCGTGCCATCTAGGCATTTTAGTGCCTATGTTTATCAGCACACCACAATTTTTCCAAAAAGTGTCGTTCTTAGTGGGTTTGTATTGAGTGTATAAAGACTATATAGCAACACTGTAAATATATTAATACATAACCTCACATATTGAAAGTTGTAAATTGGTACAATCTACCCTCGCTAAAGCCTGTTAACCCGGCATCCCACAGGTAAAATTTTATTACAAGTTCCGACAGGTGTGGTGTGATATACCCCAAATATAGGCAGGCTTTTTATTTACTAATTTTGTTTCTTTGATTACTTTCATGATTTAAATATCATTTAACATTGTTTATGTTTATACAACTCGTATAACAACAAAAAAAACTAATCTGAATATTCACATAACTAGTTTATTTGAAATTACATTTTTTTGTTATTGGAACATAGGAACAAGTTTCTAATTTTAATTAAAAATTAAAAAAACGTTCAGTACATTTTTTGCTAAAAATGAAAGAACACACTCTACACTTTTATATAAAGAAAACCGAATAAACCTAAATGGAACAGAAACATTTTTATTCATTGGTAACTTCAGCAGAATTTTTGCAAAACTTAGCGCATGTTCAAGGCAAATAAATGTTTCCCAGGTCTGACAAACGTATCTGGTCTTTCTGTTTTCAGCTCGGGAACATTCTGGACACCTCCCTTGTTGATTTGGTCTCACCTTCTTCGATGGAGGTTCAGGATTTTCACCCAATATTTTCCGAATATTTCCTCTTAGCTCCCTTGTTAGGCCTAGGGTTTTTCATTCTGCTTCTTTGAAATTCTTCTGCCAACTGCATACCCAACTGCTTTAAGAAAATTCTTCTTGGTAATTTGATGTTAGTGTTCTCTCTATATATAATATAACTGTTAATGCCTGCAGTATTTAGGAGGGAGAAAAATAAAGTTAAAGGCCAACGTCGACTATTTCTCGAAACATTGTATGATGCAGATAACTCGTCTACTACATCAACGCCACACTTGGTAAAGTTATAAAAAGATATTATTTCTGGAAGTTTTTTCTCTGACTCATCTACTGCATCATCGTGATGTAAAGAAGATAATAGCAGTACAATTTTGTTCTTTTTCGGGCAATAGGAAACAAGAGTGTATCCTTCCTGGAATCCAAATAAGCTAGAATGAACTTCTCGATTATTTACATTAAAAAAAGATGCTGGTAGACATGGTTTATTTTTCCGTATAGTTCCCACCGCAGTCAGTTTGTGATCCTTGCGCAGAATTTCTAAAAGCTCAAGACTGGTATATCAATTGACGAAAGTAATGTTACGGTTCGTTCCTGAGACTGGAGCCACTAAGCGGCTTACTATGTCCTTAGGACTATTGCTGACATTAAATACTCCCTCAGGTTGCTTCCCCACATAAACTTCCATATTCGATAGTTCGTTCGCGCATCTATAAGGCCTCTTGTTCACGGCACGTTTTTCGCCGTAAAAATCTACGGTTAATTCGCCGTAGGTAGGCACGGTTATCAGTGTTGTATGGATCACAGTGGGAGCTTGTAGACATACACGGCAGCGCTACGTTACGGCAAAGCTGCCGTGCTCGCCGTGAAAGCCCCTCGGCGCGCCGCGTCTGGCGACGGCGTGATTTTCATCAGTGTTGTATCGCAGTGCATGAGAGCTTGTCGATGGTGCCGGACGTTTTCACGTTTTGGGAAAGATATTACACAGGCTGATGAAATAAGCGATAAAATGGACATCAATCAAGAAGTTCTTATAACAAAATAAACGCCTCAAGTTTGATTGCTGGAAAGAAATATTCGTACAATTGAATCCCGCATTTGAAGATTTAAGTGGTGAAGAAAAGAACACTTTTGGTTAGTAACTGATATATTTCTCACTTACAGTAATCCACTTAAGCATAGTTATTTTGATAAGAGAGGCTACCTTCGTTAGACATAAAATATTGTGCAAATTTGTTGCGAACATCGTTAGCTAACAAATTTCCGCGAACTGCATTCGTCATAGGTAACTGTGTTAGTTCCGATTCTGATTCAAAGGTTGATTCTCTTTCACTCGTATTATCAAACTGAAACTTTTCCTCTTTATGTACAAAATTTTGTAAAATGCAACAAGCTTTCACAATATCCACAGCCAAATCGATGGAAACATTCAGTGGCCGGTGGAGAATACGCCATTTATTGGCTAAAATGCCAAAACCACATTCAACAAATCTTCGTGCTCTTGTGAGTCGATAATTGAACGTTCGTTTTAATTGGTCAAGTTGATGGCCTCCGAATGGACGAAGTAAGTGATAGTGCAGAGCAAAGGCTTCGTCTCCAACAAACACAAACGGTAATTTGTAGTCTGTTCCAGGCAAGCGGATTTCGTCGGGTAGGTTCAGTGTATTGTTTGTTAAGTTTTTCCAAAATGCAGTTTCTTTGAAAACACTGGAATCACATTCCTTTCCGTAGGCACCAATATCAACAAATATAAAATTGTAATCGCTATCTACTACCGCCATTAAAACTATAGAAAAATAATGTTTGTAATTCAAAAACATCGAACCACTATCCACTGGCTTAATCACTCTGATGTGTTTACCATCGACTGCACCTAAGCATAGCGGGAAATCAGAAGATTCTTGAAACTTGTTAGCTATTTGTAGCCAGTCTTCCTTAGAAGGCATTTTCATATACTCTTTGCACAGTTCTGACCAAATACACTGGCAAACTTCACGTACGATGCAACTTATGGTTTTTACTCCAATTCTATAGGTGTAGTGTAGGTCTGTAAACGTAGCTCCTGTTGCTAGGTATCTGAAATACAATGATAAAAATTAATTTTATTTACAGGGCAACATGTGATGAAAAAATGGACCAATATGAAAGATAATTGGATGAAATGTCATAAAAAAATGGGTGAATATAAATCTGGCGCTGGAGCACACAAAATAAGAAAATACAATTTTTATGATCAAATGCTATTCTTAAGCAAAATTGTAGAACATCGCAAGACTGATTCCAGTATGGATGAGCATGTTAATAGTTCAGGCATCAATAATGAAAATGCAGAACCGAATCCATCAAGATCACAGAACGGTAATGCGAGTGAGGCTCCAAAGGCTAAGCAGAAGAAAAAAAATAATCAACTTAGTGAGGTTGACATTAAGTTTATGAAGTTTATGGATGTAACGGCACAGGAGGAGAAAAGCCGCAGTATGAACTTTTTTAGAGGAATTTCTGATTCAGTTGACAAGTTTACTGATGAAAACATGATAGACTTCCAGTTTCAAGTCATTTCAATAATTAAAAGCATACAAGAAAGAGAAAATAACCGATATATAGCAGCACCTAGAAACCAATGGGATCATGGCCAGCAAGGATATCAAAGCGGCACAACACCTGCGAATTCACAGTTTTCAGTGTATGGGCATTCCACAGCTGCTCGATCAGGCTTTGGAATCAATGGCCAGGAATACGATTTTGGACATAGCTCTGGTTTAGAGCCCATCCCCAACCGACCAGAATCGCAAGCATCTGCTCAAAGTGTGAATACAGAAAGTACCTCTGCAAATTCTCAAGCCAGTACTGAAGAATTCGATTTTAGCTCTGCATTTCGGGAGCATCTTTAGCTTCAACTTAGTTTTTTTACGTAACTTATAATCATTCATAGTACAAGTTCGTTTGAGATACAAGGCTTTGTATTAATACATAAATTTAAGTAAAAGTATTTAGTTTGATTTTTTACTTACCTCAACGTTACAGCCAATCTTTCTGCGGGAGGTATGCTTTGTCGCATATTGGTATCTTGGTGCTTTAATTTCTGTGATAATTTTTGCAGCAGTTTATCGAAAGTTGTTTTCTGCATTCTGAAATAATTGTAAAACTTGGCTTCATCCTCCCTCAATTGATTCTTGACAAGCGTATGAAATGCGCCTAATTCTCCCCGTTTTTTCAAGATCGGGTGTACCCAAAACCTTCTTTTTCTTCTCTCTTGTTTTTTCAGTCTTCTATACACATAGTACGCAAGCACAATCTTTTTCTTAGGATTCATGGCGAGGACTTCTATAGTTTGCCGCAGAAAAGTCTCAACTGAGCTCACTTGGATTCATTCGACGGGCACCTTTGCCGTGCCCCGTGCAAGCTTGCACGTTTTTGTAACCGTACGGCAAATTTGCCGTACGGCAAATAAAACGTGTCGTGAACAAGAGGCCTAGGCTTGTAGTTTTATGCCGTATTTTGCGGGCTTATTTGGAATGTATTGTCTGAAGGAGCTCCTGCCACAAAATGACTCCAGTTTCTTATCGATTGTAAGATATTGAGACAAATAAGCCTTCTAACAGTTGTCAACAAATCTATCGCAAACAGCTGTAATAGGGGCCAACTTATCCAATTTAACCCTATCTTTGCGATTATTTTTGTTGTCGAAACGTAAACAGGAAATAAGGAATTCAAATCGCCTTTGACTCATAGTAGCCGGAAATATATCCATTCCAGTACCATCGGTATTCCATAGCTCATATAAAAATCGGTGGTTATTTTTGAAAACTCCTGATAGGTACAAAATGCTGAGCACTGCTTCAATTTCTGCCGGATTCGTTTCTCCTTAATGGGGAGATTCCTTCCATTTCTCAGATTTTTCTATGATCCTTAGATTCGTATTTTTAACTATATCTGCGATCATTACCTTATCAATAAAGAGCAAAAAGCATTCAAGTGGAGTTTTAGCCATTTTCGCATGGTTTTTAACTCCTGGAAGATGGGCTATTATGTTTTCAGATCTACTTCGAACATTTCTATTAACTCTTTCAGGGGCAAACTATTTTATAAAATTTATTCTCTATTTGGGCACAAAAAACATTTTTTTTTATTACTTGTTTTTCACATAAAATGCTATTTGAGGATATAAATAATACTCAAAGCTTTTCATATTTTTTATTTTTACATGTAATTTTTCATATATTTGGCAAAAAATAAGTGGTGCTATATATGTACCACTGCCCTATTCCTATTTATTTCTGTGAAAGTCCTGGAAACAGGTTTTATTTTTATTTAAACAAAGAGGCACATTGCAAACGCTGCATACCCAGTCCGTTCTTACTTGTTTTTTTTAGTGCTACAGTAAGCACACCGACGTCGAGTACCGCGTTCAGGTTGATGAGATGAACCTTCAAATCGAATTTCTTCAGAAACATATGGTTTTTTTTTTATGGCAACAGTTTCAAAGGTTGACAAAGAAGATCTTTTTCTATCTACCAGTTGTTGTACAACAAGACCTTGTATTATACTTCTTCGGAAATCTTTCATAGAAAGTGTGGGTAGCTGTAACTCCTTATATAATACAAATGCATTAACAACAGCAGCATCCAGGAAAAAAAAGAAAATGCGATGCCACCATTTATGGCTTTTTCGATCTATTTTGTAGGAAGTAAGATTTTGGTCGAACTTGTCGACAAAATTCATATTGGCATTGTAATCAGAAAGGGCTTTTGGACAAGGCACTTTGGTAATTGATCCATTCTTTTCTTTTCGGTTCACTTCAAGAGTATCACGTGGGTCATGGAAGTTAGACAGGAGAAAAACGGAACGCTTGTCCTTCCATTTAATAACAGACAAATCACTATTGCTTGTAAACCACTCGATATCACCTCTTTTCATGTTCTTATCTGATTTGAACTTCAAAATATTCCGCCTAGAAGAATTAACAGTACCACAGGCATGTATCTGCATATTTTTTAGATCTTCCATTAGCTCGACTCCGTTGAAAAAATTGTCAAAATAGACCAAGTGATTTTTATTTTCGAGACCCTCGCATAGCTGTTTCACAATTCTTGAGCCCAAGTTTTTCTCGACATAACCACTAGGTTTTCCTGTATAAATATCAAATTTTAGAGAGAACTTCTCCCTTTGAATTTTATCATGGATTCATCTATGGCAACTTCACGACTTGGCAGCATACATTTTCCAAATGCCTCTGACATACGGTTCAACAATGGCCTTACTTTGTACAGCTTGTCGTAATTGGCTTCGCCTTTTTTTGCCATCAATGAATTGTCATTCAAGTGAATATTTCCAAGCAACCAACTAAATCGCTTTACCGACATTAGATTACTGACATAAGAGTCATGTAGATCTGGCGCGCGAGACCAATGGTCCCTATAACTTGGAAGGCGCTTTATGCCCATAAGTAAATTTAACCCCAAAAATGTTTTAATTTCACGAACATCAGTTGGTTTATGCTTGCTGAACTGTTGTTGAGCATACAGGTTCGTTTCAAAAACAATACTTTCTATCAAGGAGTCAGAAAAAAATAATTGAAATAATTTGTACGGTGTTGGATCTGTCATATTCGTTACACAATCTGCTAGACCAGAATGCGCAGTAAAATCTGGAGGTGGTGTAGGAGTTTTCACATTAGACCAAACTGGAGACTTTCTTCCAACTGATGAGGCAGATGAAGCTAGCTGCAGTTTTCCAGCGATAGTTGACAAAGGTATATCATCTTCTGAGTCACTATATGAACATATCAACACGTTGCTTCTAATAGTAGTTTCTGTATCACTTTCTTGGTCGTCTCTGCTACTGGCTAACGATTCACAATCAGATGGAATTTCTTCACCGTTTATACGACTTTGTTCCATTTCTGAATAAATGTTTTCGAGTTCGGCGTATAATTCACCTTCCGTCATATCGACTAGTTTAAATGGCAAGTCAGACATGTTGTAAGTCTGAAAATAAACAAAAAAATAGGGTGTAAAATAAAAACGTAATGTGTGCGGTGGTACGCATTGAGTACCAGTAAATATAAAACGATAGAGGTTTTTTTTCAAATAAATATAGGATAAAATCATAACAAAACAACTTTAATAAGATAATTACATCGAAATCATACAATGTTACTTACTTTTTTAGTGTTTCTCCACTCACAGCTGGTATATATTCTTGACTAATGAATCATAACCTTAATTTGCTTTTGCATGCGGTATTCCGAACTCCCGCGCTATTGTCGGTGCATGCGCTCTTTTATAGACACGTGAACAACTTACTTTGAGCGGTGGTTCATGGAATGAACCGCTGCTCGCTCTGTAAATGAAATTTTTACCAGTGGTGCTAAATATGTACCACCGCCTCATTAAAGCATGCTTTGAGGTGGTTTATTTTATATACCATCGCCCTTGAAAGAGTTAAGGCACTCTTTGAACCATTTCATCCAGTTTTTTTCCAAGAAAAAAACGACGTGTGCCCAGGGCTTGTGCTTCATCAGCTTGATGTTCTATAAATTCAGCGTTTTGCTCCATATCGGGATAGTCGCTGCAAACACTTACATTATCTATTTCATCTTCTTCTTCTGAATCGTCTCGATCGATCGCTTCATCTTCATTCTGTACTTCCTCCCAAAGTGCCCAAAGCCTACGTTGCTCCTTCTCGTATTCGCCATTATTTTTATATAGTCCTGAAATATTGTTTAACAATTTAAAGTTTTAATTAAAGAGTTATAAAAATACGACTCACCCAAAAACTCCGAATTCCGACACGCGGGGTATGACCAACCCCAAACAATCCTACGACGATACTACTCATTAGGCGTCAACAGACCAACTGCCTCACGTGGCTCGTGTCACTTATTGGAGTGTCCTATAAAGTTACTGAGGCGATGCCAGCAGTCGGCGTGAAATTTGAATAGATAATTTGTAAAATTCGATCGTTGGGGTTTGTCACACCCCACGTGTCGGACGCCGTGTTGATGCGTGCGTAATGTTTCAGTTTGACACAACGAATTTGAATAGATAAGGAGGCAACCCTACATTGCATTGTTTGTCGCCAAAATTGCGTAGTTTTAGTGCAAACGTTTGACTCACTTGCATACTAAATAATAACAATACTGACTAGTGGAAAGATCTACCTTGCTTATGCGTGTGCCGTTCTTTGCAAATTATGCAAGAAGTACCATTTCCTGGAATCGTCTAACAACAATTATCTGCAAACACTTGCACTTTTAAAAAGTAACACTAAAAATGGGAATTCAATGACAACACTATCAAAAAATTAACTCATGTCCACTCCACTTGGAGTATGCAATTCCATCCTGACAAGAGACTATCAGGTTTTGGAAACGAAAATCATTGACTTGCTGCTTTTTCCTAGTCTGAATTCGTTGGTTTGACATGCCAGAGTTTTAGCATAATTGGGTAAATAGTTCTACGCATCATTCATGCACTCTAAGTATGAGACTTTATGGTGACAGTATTCAATAAATCCTCATTACAGCAGGATACATTTCTTTCTAATATACAAATCTCACTAAGTGCGACTAAGAATACTTAATATTAAGTAGTATTTTCAGTAATCAGTACAACAGTAAAATTGTAAGGTGTGGGTCAATTTGGAGGGAAAACTAGTTTCACCATATCTCTACCGATACCTCATGTTGATACCTTTTTATACAGAAATATATTCTAGTACTGTTTTATAGATCTTGATGCAATGGGTTTTTATTCGATTTTCCAGTCCATAAATGTAACTTTCTTACTAGAAGACTTTGTTATAGATCTGCATTTAAACTCGGCGAATGGGTGTGCGGGTATTATTGCTTGTTTTTTTTAAAGATTCTAATATAAGAATAAATGAATCAGATATTGGAAAACTTGTTACATCTGTGGACATTGCTATAGGATATAGGCAAGACCCATTTTGCTTGCTTAAATTCTTTACATTATTTAGATTTTGATTGTTTTTGTTTTATTGTAGGATATTTTTGGACAGTAAGCGTGTGAAAAAATGTAAATTAGTAAATTATATAAAAGCTTGGAAAAATCGTGTTTTACTTGTATTGAGTGTCAAACCTTCCTCAAATTAACAATATTACAAAGTTTGCCAAATCTGTCAAATCAGTTAGTCTAGACAAATCGAGACAATCTCTCGATGTATCCCTAAAAATTGTCAATTTTACTGATTTCTAGCTCAGATGGGCGGGTAAAAAACGACAAAATGTCAACTTGCTGACTACCTACATAGCTATGCTGTGCAAATAGTTCATTCTCCTTTCGCTCGCTATGAGCGGCACCTATGGAGGAATGACTCAATGACATGCTCAACTACCATGCTGTAAGTCAGTTCACTAGCATGCTTTGTTGGTTGCAGAATGCCGAGGTTGTAGAGTATATCTCTGAACTAAGAAGGTGTTGCAAAGGACATTGGTTGAGTAGCACAGTAGCAAATCGCTTCTGGATGATTGTATGATATGTGTATATTGGCCTGAATGATATTTGCTTTGTGAGAAAATTATTACTGAATATACTGCCCATGAAGTATATCTATATATCTATATCTGTTCAAGCCGGGTTTGTGTTGTTTTTTTCTGGAGAGAGAGAGTCGAAGCTATACATTGCCATTTTCCCCGTTCTTTTTGCGTTAAGTTTGAGAACCATTACCGGAAATCACCACCGCGCCCGCGTTGTGTGTAATATAGCCACATCACAGAAAAATTAGGAATGACGCAACACATACAGTCAACTTACTTGACACAATGTTTTATAAAAAGTTCCCGTTAGTAGGTCTTGGCCTCCCGAAACAAACCTCAACAGTATTTCGTAATGTTGTCTAATGCGCTTTTAGTTCACAAGAAATTAATCAATGGAGAACGTAAGTGCGAGTCAAGTAAGTTCAAATCTGCCGATTTTTCAATGCCAGGGGTATATTTTTAATTGTTTTTATTTTATAATTTTTTATTCGAGTTATAGTAATAACGTACGTGTTTTTGGAATTGTCAACTAATAACTTATTACGCTTCGTTACAAAACTTAGGTTGATAATCATTTAAACCAAAAAGTTTGAACACATCACACACATTTTATGTAAGATTTAAAATAGTGGAAAACGAATTTCATTTACGTTTAATATCGTGACATTTGAGAGCAGATAGTAACACTTAATGGGTGATGCAAATCCGGAATGTAGTTTAATAATATTGAATGTGACGGTTTTGCCTTTGATGTTCTAACAAACCGTAGCGCCCTATATTTTTTAACTTAGCAAATGAAGGAAAATCAAATTACTGGCATGAACACCTCCCGCCGTTACTGCAATCCTGATATAAAATTATCAATGGCTGCATCTCGCACATTCCCCTTGCAATGTTATTATACAAAACTGGGCAGTTGGATCTGCCGAATGAGAAATAATTTTGTAGGTAAAGTGACATCAAATTTTACAAGAGTACCTATTCATTCCTATGATGATTGTGATAGGACAGTATAAAGTCCAATGTGTGAATCTCCACGAGCTCTTGGCCGTACGGAAATGAAACTAAAATTAAATTGTTATTATATTCATTATAACTTAGAGTTTGAGACAATATTTCCTTGAATGAGTGTACAGATAAGTCTAATACAGTATAATCAAATCGAAACATAATTTTCGGAGTTTTTTGCAAACGTCTCGGCCACTTTTTTATAAAATTCTTACAAATTTGCATTAACAAGCTTGGTGCTTCTTTACCAGGTTTTGAGTCTCCTGAGGCTGCTAAACGAGCGCTCTACCGTACATATTTTACATGGTAGAGCAATCAAAATTTTCATTGTCTCAAGGGAGGGCGCAACTGCCCCCCTAGCGACGCCCTTGAGCAGACTAATAAATAATTTAAGAAAATATCACCATATAAGCGGTACCATAAGAGACTTGGGATCGTTGAAGATGAGAGAGCTATATGAGCTACACTTATTAACTTACTACACTCATAAACTCTTATTTACTTCGATTCCTTTGTTTTTAAAAAACAAGCTAATCCATCGAAATTGTTTACACAGAGACATACGGTTCACTGAGACACTCACAATGCCTCTTCAGAAAACATTCTTTCATAAGTGCTTCACATACAACGCGATAACGATAATGATATACCTCGGGCATTAAAATCACTAAATTACAATAACTTTAAAAAGCAAATTAAACAACTCATTTTAGAAAAGCACTCGCCTACATAGTTTTACCACTCACCTCGTACATTTTTTTAGGAAACAACGCAAGAAGGTATAATTTACAATCCAGGTACTGCTTTTATTTGAAATAAATGAATCCACATTGTTGTGTATTAAAAATTTGATTGTTGCCATCAATTTTAACCAAGCAATGAGCTATCTAATTTGTTGCGTTCATTAGAAGATAATATTAATGATTGCTCATGCCACAGCCGACGTCAACTACGAGCCGTGATGAAAGAAAGGCAACACCGCGCTCGGACGGCATGGTAGTGCTACCTATGAACGTCGGCCGCCAGCGGCTGTGTGCTCCGTCTCCGTGTAATGTTCAAGAACTAAATTTAATTTTGGAAAAGAGGACAGTTCGATTCGATACAAATCGTCTGAATATGAAATAGCTCTAAAAAATTTAAAAATACGAAATAATCGTGATATATATGAGTCGCTAATGCAGTTAACCTAATTAAAAGTATTTAGTTTACGTTTTTTGGTGTCAGCACACTGTGTTCCAACAGGCCCAGCTTGGAAATGTGGAGTTACCTGTTTGTTTTTAATACATTTACTTTCAGTTTTACTGTTATTTTTCAATTTTACATAATCATTCAAAATTATGTTTGAAAAAATAGACAAAATCTTAGATAAAATATTTGCATAATTGCGGCCACAGATGCAAGTTAAAGAAAATTCACTGTATATAAGGTCAGACTGAATGCTGAGCAAGGTTAATTGACACAAAATAAAATTTTGATTATTGCTTTTCAAGAAGAAAATTTCCAATCTATCTACATTAATAATAGATTCAAAAATGGCATACATATGGTAGAATATGATTGGTACATAACTGGTTGGAATTGACAGTCCTCCTCTTTGCAAATGATCAAAATAAACATTTGTTGTTAATGAACCTTTTTCTTTAACTATTAGCGATTTGCATATCTCACAGTTTAGGTTTTTAGAGATAGCGTGTGAAGCATATCCAGATATATAAGTCTTAGTATTAACCTCTATGTCACAATTGGCTAAGTAATTTGTCTCAAATACTTCATTGAATATATCCGAAACTTCAGGATTTTGTTTGGTATCCAAGAAATCAAAATTTTCTTGAGCTTCTAAGCAGTTTTGGAACCTTGTTTTAATTTCTGCTAAAGACAATGACTATTTCTTTTCATTGAAAATATGCTTCAGCCGTATTTTCTTTTCAGCATTTAAAATTACATCATATGACACATTGTAATTGCAGCCACATAAAAGTCTATAATTGCCAAATCGTTTTTCTAAATTATCAGTGGTGAATTTTCCAGGCAATACATACTCAATGTCAAATTGATTAAATGAATATTCAATTATATTAAGTAGAGTCAGCGTGCTTTGATATAGAGCTGTATTCGTTTCTGGTGTCAGGTGTCCATTATTATTCTCTAGATTATGCCATTTTTCTAAACATATCAGGAATTTTTTTAAAAATTGTACTCTATAATCATATTTATTGGTAATAGGCTTACAAAATTCGTTTCGCTTCAATTCTCCTTTTAATAGACTTGTATTACTGACAATATCCCACCAATTCCTGATTATTTCCAAAAAGTGTGCAGCATTAAACTTTAATTCTTTCATAGCAGCTATTGTTGAGTGATGGAATAAATTATCTACAAAATTTACATTTTGCCTTTCAAATGAATTTGGATGCAATGTTTTATAATTTAATTTATATGCTTTCTTAACTACAGCTTCTTTTTCCAATTGATATACAGCACGAATGTTTTCAAATTTAGCATACTGAATAATATCATTATTGTCAAAATTAGGATATACAAAAGTTTTGTCTAGGTTTTTTAAATTAATCCAATTATTTCTGATACTCTTGAAAATATGCACAACATGATAAGTTAAATACATGTTCTTATCAGGATTATGTAACAACACAAATAACTTCAAATCCACATTTTTGAACTAAATTTATCACATGTTCAACCAAAGGTGTCATTTCATCACCTCTTAGATTTGAAACTGGTAGTAATTTGATAATTTCTGTTATGTTTCCAAATGCTGAAGATAGCATGAAGGCTAAAACAGTTTTAGCCATGTCATTTTTATTTGAGGCATACCCAACAATGTTTTGTGAGCGATAGTCCAGCCTAGATGTTATATAAATTTCATCGATCATCAAAATTACAATTTTTTCTCTTGGAGCTAATTTAATTGCTGTATTCGAAAGGTAGTGAGGTAGTGTTCATTATTCCTATCATTTTTTGGAGATATATCCATACTTGAGGAGATATGTTGTAAGTATCGCTTACTTGGCAAAATAAAAAATCTTTTATTTGAATTATATGTTGATGATGACTGGTTATAAAACGTAAAAGCCATTATTATTGAAAGTGATGCATATCTGTTTTTCCTGTTTTGAATTTGTCTCAGCTGATCAGCAATAATCTCTAGATTTTTTGTATATGGAAACATAACTGAGTCATTATTAATTATGGAAATCGCTGTGTCAAGTTGTTAGAATGCATTCATGATGCAAACTTCAACAGAGTTTTTGTGTTGGTTCTCAGAAGAATAGAAAAAATACCTATTTATCAGGTTTTCTAATTGGGACCATCTGGTAATTTTGAGATCATATGGCAAAACCCACTTCAAGTCACTAAAAGAAAGCTTACATCCTTTATGAACAACCTGAACTTCCATCTGACCATCAACTATAATCTGTGTATTCAAAGTTAAGATATCATTTTCAAAATCCAATTTATAAAAATATAGCTTTCCATCAGATAATTTATTATTCCATTTCTGTGAGGATTTAATTTTTGAAAATTTAATTACAGCCTCTGAGATTGCCAAATCACAAATTGAAAAGGTTATGTTTTCTCAGCGTTTTACCACCTACGTTGCCAGATTTCTTTGTTCACGGCTCGTAGTTGACGTCGGCTGTGCTCATGATGCATTTCTTAGGTATAGTCAACGCCAAACAAAGTGGCGTGCACGTCATCACGATAAAAATTCCCCGACCTAATGCCTAGGTTTCTATCACAAACAATTGCTCTATTGCAGTTTCATATTAATGTGATATATAAATTGTAAAATGGTCATTACTCTCTTATTATGGTTAATAGTCATATAAACATTGTTATTAAAATATCACATAAGTTGCTTTCTGATAAATTTAGACGCATTATGCGAAATAAAATGTTTTGCAAACGCTCCAATCACTTATCGAGATGTAAACGCACTAAACCGATTTCGCAGCGTTGACACATTGTCACCTTGAAACTTATTTAAACTGGGAACTGACATTTGTATTAATTTTGACAGTGAATCAATTTGTGGCATTTCAAATCTTTATAAATCCTTTGGCCCCGCATACTGTAAATCAACAACTGTTTGTTTCAAAACAAAATTATTCATTTTACGAGTAGATAAAGGCAATTTTGGTATATAAAGATGCCCAAACAGTTAAATAGTCGGTGTAAGGAACTCGTGGCCTCGTTAATGCACTACTTTGAGCAAAAAAGGGACAACAACGGGCCTTTGTTGCCTTTAAATGCTGTTCAAGAGGTAGGTTACTAATAATTATATGTAATGTATATTAATAATAGTGAAATTTTATTTCATTTTTTGTAGCGTGTTGCTGCTGCTTTAAAAATTAGTTTAAGGACAGTTAATCGTATTTCCGAGGGTGTGAAAAGTGATGCAAATTTAGAATCGCCCAAGAAAAAGCGGAGTTATATTAAACGTGTAACCAACACAGCGACATTGGATACAAGTGCCATTGGAGAAGTGATCTATAATATGTATCACAAAAGTAAGATCTTATTATAATAACTTATCAGAATTTTGCATTAATTTGTTAACTAAATTATAATGTCATATTACACATGGTTTCAGAAGAACAAGTTACGATACAAACTTTATGGTCTCGATTAAGAGATAGGGCATTATTTGATGGTAGTGCCACGTCTTTAAGGCGGTTGCTTAGAGATCTTGGATTTAAGTGGCTTAAGGACAATCCGCGACGAGGGCTCATGGAACTACCAAGTATAGCTTTGAAAAGGGTGGAATTTCTAAGGCAATACAATCAAGCCAAGGTTGAGGCCTTATACCAGTTTGTCTTCCTCGATGAAACTTGGATATTTCAAAATGGGACCATAGGTCGCTCTTGGCAAAATGGAAACCAAAAAAGCGTGAAAGCTATTAAAACAGATGGTAAAAGGTATGTACTTTTACACAATTTGCACTATAAAATTTAAAACTAATATATTTTAGATACATTATATTACATGCTGGAAATGAAAATGGGTTTATTGAGGGTAGTGAAGCGATATTTTCTTCGAAAACAAAATTGAGCGATTACCATGGAGAGATGAACCAGGACAATTTTTTGAAATGGTTTCAACATCAGTTATTAGAAAAATTGGAGAGTCCATCTATGATTATACTGGATAACGCCCCTTATCACAGCATGATATTGAACAAAGTGCCCAACAATGCATGGACAAAAAAAATATCCAAGACTGGTTGACAAATCAAAACATACCATTTTTAAACACAATGTTTAAAACAGTGCTATTGAGTATTGTTGCTCGGTACATAATGCTTCTTAATTATATATATTTTGGTCGACAGTTTATATTTCTTTTGTTTATTCCTATTCTTAAAATAACTGCTTTTTTAGAAACAAACCACCTAAAATATACGTGATTGATGAATTGGCGGAACAACATGGGCACAAAGTTCTTCGTCTGCCTCCTTACCATTGTATATTTAACCCTATTGAGTTAATTTGGGGCATAGCAAAAGGTTACTATAACAGACATATTGGTAGAGATGGTAACAGTGAAAAAGACTGTTTGGATATGTGGAACGAGGCGCTACAAACGGTTTCCCCAGACATGTGGAAAAATAGTGTTCGACATACTGAGCAAGAAATTTTTAAATGGTATGAAAGAGAACGAATTTTTGATCGACCAGACATCGAACCTTTAATAATCAACTTTGAGAGTGATGAAGATTCAGATTCAGACAGCGCTGAAGAAAGAAACTCCGACTAACTTTATTGTACAGAAAAAGCTTACACCAGTAGCTTACCTAATTTTAGAATGCATTTTTCTGTATGAATTCTGTAAAATAAATACCATGCATAAAATTTGGAGGACCCCATTTGGATTTTTATTCAGTACCTTTAAGCTATCAATTAAATATGGTAGTTTCATAGTGTCATCTGATCAATAATTGTCATACTTAATGATTATGCAAGTACAGATCTATAATTTTATTATACTATTATTTTTGTTCTCATTTGAGGTTAATATTGCTTATAAACCTAGATATGTAAA